ATATATACACCCATACAATTTTTTTAGTTAAACGAGTATTTTTTTTAAATAGAACATATGTAGATTTTAAGAATGGAAAACTTATTTAGACAACAAATTTTTTGTAGCTTTTTTAAGGAAAATATTATGATTTATTATTTTCATATTTCAGGAAAAGAATTTATGAGGGAGAAAAATATAAAAGTAACAGCTCATATTTTAATTATAGAGAGACATTTTGGTCTTTTAAGAATATTTATAAATCTCTAATTAGACCTCTTAATTTGACTAAGAATTTGTTCAAAACGAAGGTTTGATTTTAAATTTTACTATTTTAATTGGATTTAAATAGAATTTGAATATATTTACTAAAAATTCTCATAACAACCAAATAACTTTTTACAACAATGGAAGTTCTAATACAAGAAATGATAGCAGATTGTATCTGTCATCCTGTAGTCATTGAAGATTCCTTTTCATTGGGCCGCAACCTTAACAGTTATACAGCCCCTCAACATTGTTTACACAGACGTATCATTGTTGATCAAATTAATGTTATGCTGGATTGAAAATGTAGTCTCAGAACGTAAATAGAGAGGCACAAGTCCAGCACCGGCGCAATTGAAGCACATGGCCGGTCCCTGGAGAAGCAATGCTTCCTGGTACTATTAAATACTCTTCCAATCCTAAATATAAGACATTTATATAAGGACCGGAGGAATACATTACTCTAACAAAAGGGTCAAACTCAACTCAACTTTCTTGTTGCAGAAATCTATCCAATTTCAAAGTCACCCCTATTTAATTACTTCATTTTTCAATACTCACTACTCACTAGTCTCCCTGCTTTAATTTCTTTCATACTACTATAGGACATACCACGCGCCCTTGGGTCGATTTGATGATTAGGACTAGGTAAAAACAAGCTCACACCGATTTATCATTTCATACAGATTAATTATATTCCGCCACAAACAAATGTCAGCCAGCTTATTGACGTGTTCCTAATCTAATCACATATAAATAATTTATTTTCTTTTTTTTAAATGTATTGGTACAAAGCTAATTAAAAGCCGTTCTGTGAGAAAATAAAGCTTTCTTTATTTTATTTACAGTTTAGACAACAACAAAAAATCAATGTGGAACCCCCCACGTCAACTGAAATCTACTTTAGAATATTCTAACGATATCAAATTAAACAGTAATGGAAATTTACCAATTTCCCCTTAAGATATTGACTTTTTACGTGCCCCATTTTTTAATTATTGCTATTACAGAATTTATCATATTTGACTTCAAACAGTATTTTTAATTATTAATATAAAAGCTAATTGACTAATTTAAATAAATTAAAAATGTTTGTTGAGTTAGTTATTCATAATAATTAGATGTTTTCTTTTCTAAAATATTCTTATTAATCTTGTATTAGCTAAAAATGCCATTTGATTGAACATTTAATATGTCCAATCATTATACTTCCTCCGTTCCTTATTATAAGAGACGAATAACTGAATTACGTTGATAAAAAAAACAGTTAAAATTAGTTAAGAACAATCAATGTGTAAAAAATATAATCTTTTTTCCAAAAATGCCCTCATTAATAAGGAGAGAGAGCATGAGAGAGAACAATTAAATTATTGAAAGAAAGAGAAGTGGGAGGGAGAGAGAGTGTGAATTGGAGACAATAAATATGGGTAAAATAGGAAATCAACACAAAAAAGTAGAGACAACTTTTAAGTATCTCTTATATATAGGAACATGCCATAAGCATCAAATGTCTCTTATAATAAGGAACGGAGGGAGTAATAACTATCTAAGAAAAATGAATAAATATAAGAGATAAAGTGAATTAAGATTTTATATTTAAAACTAAATTAAAATTCAAACTAACTCATGTATTAAGAATCGGAAATAATATTACAATTGTTAGGTGATTAGATTAAGGTGGAAATTGGGAAAGTAAATATTTATTAATGGTTAGTAAACTAATCGTCAAGCTGGCAAAGAAATAAGCATTCTATTTGAGGAAACTATTTGACGATTTCAATATTGACTAACAAGTCATCATGTGTTATTGACGTGTGCGATTATACATGGAATATGAAATTGGCTCTTCAATTTCCTAATGATCGTTACATTAATAGTACGGCCCCCAGACTCCCTGCCACATATAGGGCTTTGCTTCCGATTGGTAGTGCATGGAAACACGCACCGCTCTCCCTTCCTTGCTTTTGTCCAGGTCACAAATTTTATTTTTTAAGTTTTTATCATTATATCTGGCAGTTCTATGACACAATCTGGAAGGTCGCTTCCACGGAATCTTCCAATATGAAATTTCAACTCTATAAGAATATTATTAAAATATTAAATAATAAAAAGTAGATGAAAAATTTATATTGTTAAAATTTGATATAAGTAGTTTAAAATGGTAAATTTTTATGATATAAAATATTATAATAATATTTTTACTTAATTTTAAATTTCAACTATTAAAATTTAATCCAATGATACAAAGATGAGGTGAAGAGAAAAGTTAATGGAGACATTCTTATTTCCTAAATACTCCCTCCTATGAGATACTCTTTTGATTCTTAATATAAGACATAATTGTTGAGTTGATCTTAATCCTAAAATAAAATCTATTTATCATATTTATCAATTTTTTTCTAAATTACCCATGTTAATACTCTCTCAACTATAAGAGGAGGGAGAATATTAAGAAAAATAATTATAGTGTTTTAAAAAATATCATTTTTTATAATTAATTAACCTACTTAACCTCTTTAATCTAATTAAATTAGTTAAATAAGTTTTACATTAATGACTGAAAAAGTATTATTTGCAGGATAAACGCTGTAATATTTAATTATAAGATACACATAAAAAAATTCTACAAGTTTAACTAACTTTTTTGCATTTTTATCTTTATTAATTACCTCTTATATCACTACCCCTCCAGTCATAAATATAAGTCACTTATAAAGAAAATTTTTTTATCACTTATGGTACATTTAATGTTTGTTTTTTGGTTTTATCTTTAGAGATGTTGAAATTAAAAGGGTACTGCTTATAATGGTGTGAACATGCTTAGATGAGCTAGCGCATTTGGATAATCTCAAGGCTCTTCAATTTTCCTTCTAGTGAAATCGATGGGAAATTAATTAATCACCATCCATATTCACGCATTAACGAGATGGTTATAAGAATTAGCTCGAATTGCCGGGCCATAGTGCCCTGACATTGTTTGGTGGTTGTTCTTTTCTTTAGGTGCAGTTAATTAATGCCTAGATATACACTGTGCCTTAAGTAGCTTCAATCTTTATGTATATCGGCCTTTGTCCCCAGCATTCAACTTTAATTTAATTACTCCTACCTTTTCCTGTGCTAATTGTGTAAGCATGGGACCAAGTTTATATGTGTGCTGTATATATGAAAAGAATTAGTCAATATTCAGTACGCAAAAGCAATAAAGTTAGTGTTTAAGGTTGTATATTTGTCATTATACTATATGCTTAGCCTACAAAAAACATACGTAGTACTATGTATTCGCTTGAGGACATTTATACATGTAAGATTGATGATATTGAAAGCTCGATCAATGGAAGGTTCGTATTGGCATAAAAAAAATTAATTGCATGATCTTCCATTAATGTTTGACACAGTTCTTTAAATGCATTGTTTATTGAATATAGGGCTTATTGGTAGATTATTTATTATGAAATTTAAACCCCTTCTTACTTGAGTATCGGAGTTGGTGGGCGTCCTAGCGTACTAGTATATTTGGGATTCAATTTTTCTTTTATCGTCAAGAAAAAGAAAGATAACGAAAGGAATAATAATAATTATATGTATATTCATGTATTCATGTGCATGTTCAGAATATTCATCCATATTAATTTCTCAATGTTTTCCCCCCTAATTTATTGATTCTGATGGGATCGGAAAGGCACTCAGTTTAGAAGGAAGATATATAACGTCTACTGTTTAAAAATACAGCCATGGCGGTTTGCGTCGTTATACGAATTTTATTAGTTCTTCTTTCTCCAGCTAACATCATAAAAGGTACTACCTCTGTTATTAATATAAGAACTCGTTTGATTTTTATTTTAGTAATAAATATAAGATTTCAATTCACTTTGTTTTTTATATTTATCCATTTTTTTCTAAAATCGTTCTTATAATAATGATAGTTTTAACCAATACGTTTGATTAGCAAAGATATTTTAAAAAAAAATAATACTATTTATTATAAATAACTAACTTAATTAGTTTTTTTTAATCTATTCAAACTAATCAGCTAGTTCTTATTTAAAGACTAAAGGGTGTAATTAAATAATGTGGCGTATAAAAATATTTTCCAAACTTTTACCATATCAGCTTTGTCCGGCCCAACAATAAAAATCACTTTCATCCACGTTAATCCAAATATATTACTTGTAAATATAAAAAGAGAAACCAAATGCACATCTCATCTGGACCATCAATATGAAGTTTAAAAGATTCGGATACGTTTTTTAAAATTATATTTTAAATAATTTTTTATTTTAAATTATGCAAAATATTATCTCCGGTCCTAATTATAAGAGCCAGTTGACTAATTTGAGAAAATTAAGAAAAGAAGTTAAGTTAGTTATTTGTAATAAATATGTGTTGTCTTTCCTAAAATATCTTTACTAATCAAGTATGTTAGCTAAAATTATAATTATTAGAAGGACTATTTTGGAAAAAATTGAGTAAATATGAGAGACAAAATGGATTAGGGTCTTATATTTAAGACCAATATAAAAATCAAACAGGATCTTATATTAAGGACCGGAGGTAGTACATGATAATGCCAACCTTTTAATTATCAAGTTAAAAATAAAATAATACAATGTAGAAGGAGGACAGCGACTTGGGTGAAAAAAGACGTCGGGAAGAGAGAACCTCGTGTTGTTGCTCCGTCGCCCACTGCGGCGGAACTAAGTTGAGAGCAGCACTCCGTCGCCCATTGCGGCGGAGAGAAAGAGAATCTTGCAGCGATGGAACAATCCTTGAGTGTCAAGCTGGTGGAGAAAGGAGAGAGAACTCCCATTACGGAAGAGAACCGCACCTCTAAGAAAGTTAAAACAACAGGAGAAATGAATGAAGGCTCGGACATGATTGTAGATGAGAATGGAGAAAGCACTTCTAAGGACGGTGGTTGGAGTACCGTTCAGAAGGAACTCTTTCAAGAACCTGAACCGGAAAATGTTAATCACTGTGACATGGAAGCAGACCCACACCACGATGTTGAGTCCATGAAGCAACCTCAAGAGTCATTCAAGGAGAAGCTCCTCAAATCCCAAGCGAGTAAAGTCAAAACTGCAGTTACGCCATCTAATGAGGTGATGATCGAGGAAGGGGACGTTTCGGTGGTAATGGATGGACTCATTCCCTCCATAACTTTTTCTCAACGAATAAAAGATCTACTGATTCAATGCATGAAGTTGGCTGTGGTGATCAAGGTCCTGGGTCGCTCCGTTCATCAAGACATACTGCAGTCCAAGATTATCACTCTTTGGAATCCACAAGGAGACTTTAAGCTCACTGAACTGGAAGGGAATTGTTATATGGTGAACTTTGAGAACGAAGCTGATTATCAAGTCACCCTACTGGGGGGCCCGTGGGTCATCCAAGGTCATTACTTGACAGTGCACCCATGGGAACCTACTTTATCACCGAGGAACTTGGAAATAAAGCAAGAGTTTGGATGGGTCAGATTACCTGGGCTTCCTTACCATTACTACCACAAGCACATGCTTAGAGCTATCGGGGAAGTGATTGGAAGAGTTCTGCGTATTGATTACAATACAGAAGATGTTGCGAAAGCGAGGTTTGCGAGATTGGCAGTCAAAATAGATTTAACAAAACCACTGGTATCCAAGATCAAACTAGACGGTATTACGCAATATGTAGAGTACGAGGGTCTTCCAACCATTTGTTACCATTGTGGCCGCTATGGACATTTAGATATTGCATGCCCATTAAAAGAACGGGCTTCAAGTAACGTCAATGAAGGTACAAGCTCACCGGAGGAACGCTCCGCAACGAAGACCGATGATCATCCTACAAACGCAACTTGGATGCGTGAGACTCAATCAAGGGAAGACAAACTCTTTGGCAAGTGGATGAAGGTCCCTTCAAGAGGACGGCGTCCTGCCAAAAGTAGCCAGCGAGGAACAGAGGGAAGTACTGCCGCCAATGTAAGGGGAGGGAATAGATTTGACCTTCTTAACACCCACGATGATAGGGATCAGGAACGAGGAGAAGACCCGAAGGGCAAGGCAAGCGAAGGAGTGGTAGCGTATCCCTCTGACCAGAAGAAAGAAGCTGTGGTGAAGTCTATGACTTCTAGGAATAAGAAAACAGAGAAAAAGATGAGCTCCAAGAAGACTGTTAACCAAGGCCATGTCAGAGACTCCATATTTGAATCCAGAGCCTATCAAGAGGCACGAATTCCTACAACGATCAATGAAGGGAACCACTCTGCTGTTGTACTCAATGAACCACGCATGCCCCTACAACCGAATGAGGAGATGTCCAAATCCAACGCTAAATCCATGACACCACGGCCCAGGACCACGTCTACGGCTGGTGAAGAAAATAGCCTCCCAAGACCCCCAGAAGGGAGCTCTTCCAAACTGGGCTTTAAGCTCCAGCCCAACATCAAAATAAAAAATCTTAAGCCCAAAGCCAAAGACGACATTGGATCACCATCTGAGGAACTTACTAAAGCACTGGCTGAAGCACTAGGTGCGACAATTCCATCAGATGAAGATATGTCTTTTATGGAAGCAGCAGAAACAGGCTTCGAGGATGACTCTGCCTCAGAGCGTTCAGACCAGGAACGGTAACTAGTTGATTATGAATCGTACATCATTTATTTGGAATTGCCAAGGAGCAGCATCAAGAAGATTCCATACTGTGCTTAAATCTCTTCTCCATGGATTTAAGCCTGATTTAATTGCTCTATTAGAACCAAGGATTTCTGGTGTTAAAGCCGACCGGGTTATCAAGAAGCTCAACTATCCTAACTTGCATAGAGTAGAGGCGGAAGGATTCTCTGGCGGTATATGGCTAATGTGGTCTGACCAGATCAAGGTGCACGTCTTACTCAACCACAAGCAATTCATTCACACTCACATTTGCAGCACAAACGGAGAAAGTCCATACTTATTTACAACAGTGTATGGTAACCCCAAACCCACCATGAGAGAAACACTCTGGGAGGACCTCCATTATTTATGCATCAATGAACGAGAGGCCTGGCTTCTGGCTGGCAATTTCAATGCCACCTTAACCAGAGATGAGCGACGGGGTGGAGCTCGAAGCTCTCGCTCAGGAAATAGGGCCTTCAAAGACTTTGTGCACACTACTGGTCTAATTGACTTGGGCTTTACTGGGCCTGAATTCACTTGGAAAAGGGGTAGTCTTTTAGTTCGACTGGACCGAGCACTCACCAACCAGACATGGATTGCATCTCAACCCAATGCCATTGTCATGCATCTTCCTAGAATTCAGAGTGATCACCGGCCATTACTCATTAAGCCCGAAGGCGAACCAAGAAAAAAAGAACCCATATTTCGTTTCCTTGCCCCTTGGATAGCTCACCCTGACTTCAAGAACCTCTTAGCAAAAAACTGGTCCAATGAAGAAAGTCTGGCCCGAAACATTGAGAAATTTATCCAAGCAGCTCATCTTTGGAACAGGGACACTTTTGGATCTATTGGCAAAAATAAGCGTATTTTACGGTAGAAAATCAATGAAGTACAGCAAGCTCTCGAAGCTAGTTCTTACTCAAGTAGCTTACTTGCAGCAGAACGCTCCTTGGTCAGTGAACATGAAAATGTTTGCTTACAAGAAGAAATGCTATGGATGCAGAAGTCAAGGAGCCAGTGGATCTGTGAAGGTGACAGGAACACTCACTACTATCACCTGAAAGCTTTGATTTGAAGGCGAAAGAATACAGTCTCAATGCTGAAGCTGGAAAACGGCTACTGGGAATCTGATCAGGATACTTTACGCAGGAAAGCTGTGGCCTATTTTACATAATTATACTCCTTGGAACAGATGCACCCACAGCAATATAGTTACTCAGGTTTGTTCCCTACTATTCCTGATTACACTTTGACACTGCTTGACTCTCCGATAACTAAAGCAGAAACTAAACAAGCTCTTTTTGACATGGCACCTCTAAAATCTCCGGGAGTGGATGGACTCCATGCTTTGTTCTTCCAGTCCCAATGGGAAACTATCGGTGACAACATTTACAAAGAAGTTAAAGCCATCTTTGAAGGAGGAGAAATCGACCCTTGCTTTAACCGTACTCAAATTGCTCTCATACCAAAAGTGAGTGAGCCTCAAACGTTAAAGGAGTTTAGACCAATTAGCCTATGCACTACTATCTACAAACTCATCACAAAGATCATAGCTAATTGGCTAAAACAAGTAATGCCTCTACTTACTCAGTCATATCAATCAAGCTTCATTCAAGGGCGCAATATCACCGATAATATAATTATAGCTCAGGAAGCAATTCATTCCATGAGAAGAAAGACTGGCAAAACAGGTTGGATGGCCATCAAAGTTGACTTAGAAAAAGCTTTTGATAAGCTCCGGTGGGACTTTATAGAGGATACCCTTAGGGATGCAAAAATTCCTGAGAAGCTGATCACCCTGATCATGAAGTGTATAACTAGTTCCTTCGTCCAAGTAATCTGGAATGGGAAACCTTCTGAATTTTTGAAGCCTTAGAGAGGAATACGGCAAGGTGATCCACTATCACCTTACATATTTGTGCTCTGCATGGAACGGCTCTCTCAAGTTATTAGCAGGAATGTAGACTCTAGCAATTGGCGCTCCATACAGATGGGTAGGAAAGGGCCTAAACTCTCCCACCTCTTCTTTACGGACGATCTTATCTCGTTCAGTAAAGCCACAGATTCACAGGTGCACCTTACTCGCCATATCCTTGAGGCTTTCTGCTATTCCTCCAGTCAAAAAGTAAGTCAAGCCAAGACCTGAGTATTTTTCTCAAAAAATGTTTCCCATCAGTATGCAAGGAAGATTTGTTGTGATTTGGGCTTTCAGATGACAGATAACCTAGGAATATATCTTGGAGTCCCATTGCTTCATAAACGGGTCACCAAGGACACTTACCACTACATTGAAGAAAAGATTCAGAACAAACTCACAGGTTGGAAGAGTAAATCACTTTCCCTTGCCGGACGGATCACCCTTGCCCAATCTGTTCTCTCCACTATTCCCTTGTATACTATGCAAACCACCAAGCTGCCGAAGATCAACTGTGCACGAATTGAAGCTCTAATTCAAAACTTTATCTGGGGCACTACGGACCAGCATAAGGGAGTTCATCTTATTAATTGGAATGCTGTGTGTCAACCTAAAGAATGTGGTGGTTGTGGGCTTAAAAAGCTGGAAAAGCACAACTCAGCTTTCTTAATGAAGATTGCTTACCATTTTATCACAAAGCTAGAAATACTATGGGTAAAGATTCTGAGAGCAAAGTAAAACTGGAATTGGATGAATAAGAACAAGAGCAAATACAAGAATGGATCCCACTTATGGCGAAACCTTGCAAACTTATGGGAGGATCTCGAGCTGGGCCTTCGTTGGGAAGTTGGGAATGGAGCAACCACTGGCTTCTGGACGCACCATTGGGTAGGAGAATTAGGACCCTTGCGTCACCTTTCGTACGCTCCAATCTCAGATGAAGAACTTCAGAGAACAGTCAGTGATTATGTGGATGACAATGGCAACTGGAAATGGGTTGAGTTTGAACACTTGTTACCACAGCCAATTTTGCAGCAAATAGCGAGCACTCCAACCCCACACATAACTAAACCCAAGGATGATTGTGTATGGCACCTTACAAGCACTCATAGCTTTACTGTGAAGTCAAGTTATAATTTGCTAATGATGAATGAATGGAATGAGGTCAATCCCAAATGGGATATTGCTTGGAAATGGCCAGGTCCATAGCGAGTCAGATCCTTCCTCTGGCTCGTTCTTGGCAATAAACTGCTTACCAACAGTGTCAGAGTCAGACGGCACATGGTAGAAAAAGATGATTGTGAAATATGCGGACAAGGGCCTGAGGATGCTGAGCATGTTCTCCGATCCTGTACTACAGCAACCTCGTGCTGGAACCTTGTAGTTCCTTCTCAATGCCTAAGGGAGTTCTACAACTGCTCCTTCAGCACTTGGTTACATCAAAATCTAGCCACTAATGATTCCAACCTTGCATGGTGCACTACCTTTGGACTCCTCTGCTGGAAGCTTTGGGAAATGAGGAACCGTAAGCTGTTCTGTAACGAGGACGTGCAAGCTTATCGTCTTGTCAATGAAGTGCTTGCCCTTAGTGAGCAAACCAAATGTGCTAGAGAAACCCACATGATAGTCCGATTAGGCTAATCTCTGGGCTTTGTGCCCTTTATCTTTAATTTCCTTTGTCATTATTTGTTTCTCTATGTACTCTTTTTGAATAATAAAAGTTCTTTACTCAAAAAAAAAAAAAATACAATGTGAACCGCTTTAAATCCCATCTGAATGGTCTTTAGATGGAGTCCACACTGGCACCAGCTCGAGACGCCAAGATCCGCATGTATTCTTTCCGAAGCATATTGGTGGGTGCTTTTTTTTTGGTAACACAGTTTTTTGTCACTCTTTTTACTTGGGTCGCATTGTCCGGGTGCTTTAAGTAATCAGTTAATGGGCTTACTCTGAGCTCAGACCCAAAATAATGAGATTGGGGGGATCCAATTCTGGTTCGTATCGTGTAGCCCATTCTACGGGATTGCCCCAACAGATGCACATTTGCCAATCATATCTCATATGCACTGTGGCCCAAAAAAAAATATCGCATGCACAAAATACACAATTATGGTTATTTTGATCTTCAGCTTTTGGGATAATCGGTTTTTCCTTTTCCTTTCTTCTCTTTTGTTGTTTTTTTTTGGGCTAAATCATTCCATGCTTTTCGATGAACCAGGAATAAAGGAAAATTTCTAATAGCATTCTAAATGTTCAATATCAAGGACAATGATTATATCAGGATGTTCTGTGTGTGCTGTGTGTGTGTGGCGTAATAGGTACTAAAGTACTCCTTTAAAATAAAATCTCAAAACGGGTATTCATTAATTTAAATTCATTAATGCATGCAAGAGTTCCCCACCCCCCCCCCCCAATTTCCCTACATATCATACTCAAAATTATATCAGTGGAGGGGTAACATATGATCGAATGATACCATGCTTTCATACATGCGGATATTTGCCATAATAATTTTCATCAAATCACAAAAAAGTTTAAAAATTTACTTGTACTATGATATTTAATTATTATGAAAATGGTTAACCGTCAACTAAACCCACGTTCATCATGTTTTTTATTAAAAAAAAAAAAGTAGAGTTAAGGTGCACCCATCTTAAACTATTTTCTCAAATACATCCAGTGTTTTGAAATAATAAGTGATGCAATTTCAGCCTGAAGTCATTTTTATTAAAATGGTACAATCTCATCCGTCTTTGACAAAAACCGTTACTTTGACTATCAAAGTGCTGAGTTAGCAAAGTTTGACCAAAAAAATCTTATTTGGCATGTGAAGAAAAAAAGTCGCTGGTGCTGTGTGAAGAGAAAACCTAAATATTCAAGAGCAAATAGCAAAATTTCAATACTCCTAATCAATTTTTCTTTTCTTTTTTCCCAGCAGAATCAGATTTCAAGAAACCTAAATCAAAATATATGTAGGAACCATAAATCAGTCAATATTCGGGAGATCCATACCATAAAACAGCTTCAAAAAGTTTGAAGGAGTTAAATAGATAAACCTTCAAGGTAAGCATATTAGAGTTCAGAGATAAACTAATCGAGGCACTCCTCTTCGATTTATATCGATGTTAACTTCAATATGTGATAACGTTGATCTCTTTCCATCATTTATTCAAGAAACGAACGGCGTCATCTTCATTCTTGCTCCATTTCTGCTACTACCGCCTTGCTTTTTGCTGCTTCTGCTTCTGGTTCTAATGCATGCGTTGCTCAGCATCTCACCAGATCTGATGCCCATCTGCTGGCTCGAGCCAGAGGGGTTGTGGATGCTATGAAGAAGACTCAAATGTAGCAGCAATTATCGATTTCTACGGCGGCGGCGAGCCGATCAAAGCCAAGGATAGGCAGCGAGGTCCCTGCATGTGATTATTGAGAACGAATCCCAAAATCACAGCTCCTCCGTCTCGCCTTCTCCAACTCCACTTCAACTTCAAATCTTCACTTCTTCTTCAATCTTAGCCGAATTATGATTTCTGGAAGCCTGAAAAACTCTTTTTGTTTTTTAAGGTCAAAAGCTGTTTATAAAATATTACATGAATTTTATGTTAGCTGCCCATTCATCTGCCAAATAAGATTCTTTTGGTCAAACTAACGATTTTGTCAGGTATGAATAAGATTTCACCATTTTAATAATTTTAAGCATGAAGTTGAACAACTTATTATTTTAGGACACTAAATGCATCTGAAAAAATGCTTCAAGACGTTGGGTGTATCTTGATTCAAAAAAGTATACTCTTATTATATCTTACTTTACTTTTTTTTTTTCAGTATAAGAGTTATTTAACTAATTTTAATAGACAAATACATTATTAGTTAATTATAATAGATTATATTTAATTTTTCAAGTTAGATAAATTAGTTTTGGTTGGAAAGATTAATAAATATCGGGACAAAATAAATGAAAATATTATGTTTAGGACCAAATTCAATAACCCATCTTGAGTACTAAAGGAAGTAATAAAAAGTAAGTTTAACAATAAATTAATATATAGAAAAGGTGATCTAGGCCTAATTTTTTAATATAATTTCCAACTGATTAATTGTATTTAGTTGAAAGGTGAGTTTATCCGATGAGGGAAAATAGCTTCCAATTTCGAACTTTTTTCCCTTTTCAATCCACAAAGGTCAACCCCCTCCATGTCTATGTTTTGTTTTTAGCTTGCACGTCCCCTCTCTCTCCCTAGGTATAGCCTTGGTTTTCTGTTGCAATTTCAACTGTTGATTTAACGTCCTCTGAGCATTCCCTGGCCCACCCTCAAGATTCTACATCATGCTGTTCCCTTTAATTTCGTCCACATTCTTTTCTCATCCCCATTTTCCCTTCTCTCTTTATAAATCCTTCCCTCTTCCTTCTCTCCTAAACCCTCCTCCTCCATCCTTAGATCACTGGATCTCTCTCTCTCTCTCTCTCTGAACTCATCCTCCATGGCCGAACCAGCTTCTTCTTCTAAGAAAGACTTAATAGTCTGTGCTGATCATGAGGGGGAGGAAAGTGGGTGGACTTCGTACTTCGAAGATTTCTCATCAAATACAGATTCTTCTTGTTTCAGTTCGTGTGGTGGTGGCTCTTCCCCTTTGGTCTCAGATGCTGCTTCTTATTGTGCTGCATGCAAATCCTCACACCACCACAACCATCATCTTCTTTCCTCACTCTCTTCAAATAATTATGGGGTTCCCCCAAATCTTCCTGATATGAAGCTCAGATTCAAGAAATCACGAGCCAACTTGATTTCAGAAGATGACCCTTTGGAGGACACTGCTACTTCTCCTCTCAACAGTCCCAAGGTACGTATATAGATAGGTTATTCAGCCTTTCCTTTTCCTCTTTTTATTTCCTCTTCACCATCTGTGATGTTATAGGTATGTATATATATTACCATTTGTTTTAATTTTAGGATGGAGATTTGAATCCATCTGAGATGATTTCCAGAAAGACAGCCGAACATGATCTATATGCTGATTCTACGGTAAGCTTAGATCATTATTCAGTATGTTAAGTATTTTCCGTAAATTAATTAATCAGTAGAAGCTAACACTTGATATTTAGCTTTATTTCTCAGCATCTATTTTAGTAATAAGTTTCTCTGGTTTAATTTATAACGATATGTCGGTGATGATTGTGTAGAGTGAAAGATTTACATCGGAGAATATCTCAGATTCGAAGAGAGATGAAATTCCCAAGAAAACCAAAGGAAAGAACAACATGAACTACAAAAACCTGAAGAAAAGAGGGCTCAGTTTGTTTCCCTTGTCCATGTTGGTTAATTATTTTGGGTGACTGATCATAATAATTTGCCCATGGCTCGTCTCTCCCCCCCCCCCCAAAAAAAATCCTTCCCCTCCTTTTTGCTCTTCCTCTGCTTAAAATGCTGGAGATGCACACAGAATACAATGACTGTGGTATTTTGATTGTTAGTGGCGAGAAGAGAGCTGTTTAAGTTTGGCGTAGGTAAAAAGCATAAAGAGTGTATTATTGGTACAGTGTATAATAGCGAGGTCTCTATTATTTCATGACTTATTTTGTTTGGAGGAGTGTCAAAGTGTGGTGATCTTATTTAGTAACATGGCACCTATTTCTGGTTCAAATGATAATAGCAAGCCTAGCAATTATATACGAAGTTCAAACAGGAACTTATTTAGCCAGATTTCATATGACGGCTAAACTGTGAAATTACGACTTATACGTAGGAACTAATTAAAAATATGAAAAACAGGATATTGAAGACACATGAATGCATGAAATCAAATAGAGAAATTCAATTTTAGGTTATTATAATCAACATTATTGATTAAAAGCTAATAATGATTAACTTTAATTTTCTGCAATAGGATTTAATTTGATAGCAAAGTCTTGATTGAGGTCTGACTTGAACAGGCAAGTAGATTAATTTCTGTAATAGCATGCTAATCTTTAATTAAGTAATCTGACACTACCTCCATTCCTTATTATAAAAATTTATTTGAATTTCAATTTAGTCTTAAATATAAAACCTCAATCCATTTTGTTTTTTATGTTTATTCATTTTTTTCAAAATAATCCTTATAGTAGTTGTACATGTTGAAGGTTTCATCAAATAGTAATTCTAGCTAACATACATTATTAGCAAGGGTATTCTAAAACAAACAATACCTATTTATAACAAATAACTAATTTAACTAATTTTTTTAATTTTCTCAAATTTGTCAACTAGATTTTACATTAAGAACTAGAGATAGTATACACTGATTAAGAGATTTGTCTAAACCGATAATCACTTTATTCAAAGAGAGAATAATAACACAGCCCTGCAGCTGGAAGATGAAATTGCTTGGTTAGTTGGACTGTGGGAAGAATTGAATTGAATGGATACATAATACGGCACATTTATTTAACTAAGGGGAAAAGTAGATTGATAGGTTCAAATATTATTAATTCTTCTCCTACCTCCTGCAGGCCATTCATTTTAATTAAAAATATTAAGAAACGGCTGCAACAAGAGAAGACCCCTCCATGTGATGAAGCATTAATTTAACACAGGAGAGCACAGACGCCTTAAGGACATTCTCACTTAAAAATTCCACCAGCAAACCTTGTCTTTGACCACTCTCTATTATTCTCTCTCTTCTATACGTACACCTATGTTCAAACAACTATTTATTCATAATTTTTATTCATTATTAATTTTGAGGATCCGCTTACATGTAGGAAGTATGTGTGTGTATATATATATATATGAAGGTTCTTGGTTATGATGATTTATAAGAAACTTATCACTTTTTTTGTGGAAAAAATTACTACTACTTTGGTTATTAAGAAAGATGTTAATATGCCCTATCATGGTTGTAAATATTAAAATAATCATACGTTTAAAAAGGACAATAGTGTTAATGATTCTTAAGAGACCCAAATATTATTCTTCTCACTAATTTCTTTAAGAGTTATTCCACCACCATAGATAAATGTGAATGTGACACTCCTCAGGATTAAACAAATTCTTCTTGCAACAAACATGGTGACAAAATAGCAGAAACAGAATATAACCCAGCAACACAGGGAGAGAAGAAGTAACAGGATCTGAATGTTGGGCACCGCACTAATGACCATAAAACACAATTAAACCTTTGGTTTTATATGTTACCACAATATGCACGACATCCTCCTTCTCCTCTAGCCCCATTCAATAGCCTAATAATATATGATAGGTCCTTATTATAAGACCCCGTTTAACTTTTTATTTGGTCCTAATTATAAGACCCCAATCCATTTGTCTCTTATATTTATGCATTTTTTTTCCAAGATAATCCTTCTAATAATGATAGTTTTAGCCGATATACTTAATTAGCAAGGATATTTTAGGAATGACAACACTTATTTATTATAAATAACCAACTTAACTTACTTCAATCTCTTCAAATAAGTCAATTGGGTCTTATAATTGGACCGGAGGAGTAGTATATATATACTTGAGCTCCCTCTCTCTTAAGCAATGTGAGACTTCATTTTTGACATACTCACTCATATTCAAAACATAAATGAGGGACAAAAAAACAAACACACAATATGGTAGTGGCATGATGTCCAATATATATACAAATTGATGCCTGTAAAATTTTGTCTATTAAATTACTGATTATGATATTAACTAAGGTTCATAACTCAGTAATTTATTTAGTGAGTAATATTGTTTCACATACGTGATAAATACCACAAGTAGTACTACAGATTAGCTAGGTTCCGTACTATTAGAATGTACGACAATTGAATCGAGTGTGGACACTCGCAATCCACCACGACTTAGGTAGACTAGTAAAAGAGATCGAGAACAGTGCAAAAACCTAATATAAAATACTAAGTTATTGTTCTCGATTTTGAAAATTTTCTTCATATTGATGGAAAAACAGGCAAACTAATATCGACTCAGAATATTTTTTTTAATACTTTTACCTAGTTAAGACGTGCATGGAATATTATGCTTAATCAAACATTAAAAAAAAGAAAGATCTAAATATTCCATTAAGCCATTGTAACTTCAAGCAGCTTATTACAAAAAGAATCAGTGTTTGGTGAAACGTCATCAAGATTTAAATTGCCAGAATAAACTCGCTCATACACATTAACTGATATCCAGTCACCATCATGGTATGTATATCTACACACACATATATTTATGTAGGTATGCATATATTGTGTATGTGATACAAAAAGGGGGCGACCTATTGACAAAGATTTTGTATTCCACGGTATGATCCAAGTTTTAGCTGATCCATAAAGTTGGATTAGACTGATAACTATTAATGATAATAATATAGTTGTCTCCTGTGATCATACTCCCTCTGGTTCTATTTATAAACTTCAAATTTAGAGAGAGATATGATCCATTTTATAAGATTCAATTTGGGATTTGTCTAAACATCTAATGCGATTTTTTAAAAAAATTTTGCTCTTAATTATTTATTCTCTCTCCTTTACCATACATTATTGTCACATTTTCCTGTATATTCCCTTTCATTATTTTTTTCCTTTATTATAAGCGAATATTTGGAAGCAAAATTATATTTTAACCCATTTATTATTTTTAACTAATTTTAACTACGTGTTTATTATTTGTGAATTAGTTATTTGAAGCTTATAATAAGAACTATAGGAAGTATGAATTAAACCTCATCAATGGATATCAATTTATGTGAACCCATGAACCTGGCTATATATTGGCTAACATCACAGGTTAGGTAATCAATCATATGGTTAACAACCCATTAATAATGATGCCATTTGTGTCTTGGATTGGTGGATCAACGATCTAATTATAACTCATTCATCCCAAGTGGAATCGACCTCACCTTTACTGAAAATTTTTAACTCAATTTTGTTATATGTATCTCATTTTGCACTTACTAATTCACATTAATCGCGGTAAAAACTGGATAATTTTAACCATGGAACTATAAGAAATCTTTTTCTGTCATGTAATGTCTCTTTCTGGTACAACTACTCCTCCGGTCCTTAATATAAGACCCATTTAACTAATTTGATTAGATCAAGGAAGTTAGGAAAGTTAGTTAATTATAAGAAATATGACACATTTTTCCTAAAACACCACAATTATCTTAATACCTCATCTCCCTCTTTTACTTGATTATGGTTGAGAGAATGTCTATGGGGGTAATTTAGAGAAAATTGATAAATATGATAAATGAGTCTTATATTTAGGACCAAAACCAACTCAAGAATCAGGTCCTATATTAAGGACCGGAGGAGTATTATCTAGACGAGTAAAATATCATTTTTTTTAAAATTAATAACCTATCATAATCTGCAAACTAGGTATTTAATTTAGAGATATACAGCACAACCCTCCTATTTGATAGGATTGGGTGCCACGTCTTGCAAATTTCAAGTTTCCAGTTTTCCTTATTGTTTTATTTTAATAATAAGCAAGCCTTTTCAATAATTATTTCATCTATATTTCTAGTTCTGACAAAGTAGTAAAATCAAACATTTATTAATTAAATTTAGTCCCCAGCAACAACAGTATTATATCCCTCATCGTGCGCGTCAACAACCCTTGGAAGAATGATACACATGTAATGATGCAACTGTCATAATTGCATGAAGCAAAAAATTTGGAGTATATGGTGTAAATGTGTCCAATTGTAATTTGTCAGCAGTTATAATTTAAGTCATTAATCACTAATCAAATGATGACTGGTGGGAGGTTGGACTATAATACCATATTGATTGCTAAACAAAAGGCCATCATATTCGCTGTCGAATCAACATCTTGTACGTGTTTGGATAGTACCCCTGTTCAGCGATTCTGATGTCCTCTCCCGAGTTTTTTTGACAAAATTTTTTAAGTTAATTATTTATTAAAAATATGTCTTACGAGTAATTTTTTTCAAATATCCTGTTTAACTATTTGTGTTGAAATTAAATTATTTCTCGATAAAAATCTCTTAATAAAATATAAGTTTTATAAATAAAATATATTAAAATCTTATATTTAGAATCAAAATAAATACCTAGATAACTCCTATTGTTAAAATAAGAGGAAGTATATAATTCCAAGACTCATTATTATGCACAATTAAATCAGAAGAAAATAGAGAAATTAAGTTTACACGCCTCCTCTTCCTCTAGAAGACAATATAAAACACAGTAAATTGACGATGAATTTTTACAAATTTCGTCAAAAAAAAAAAGATCACCGTTAGTTTGATTATTGATGGAATTCAGTTGCTAAACTGAAAATGGATAGAGATGAGATTTCTATAAATTTGCCTTCATTTTATTTTTTTGCAAAAATAGAATAATGGTAGCAGTCACTGATCTTTCCTCTTATCTTTGCCATATGTCACTCTGTATCTCTCTAATTGTTCTTATATGTTTGTATGGCCAATATACTATATTGGGCAAACTATATTATATATACATAGACATATATATATGATGTGTGACACACACAAACACAAAAACAAAAACAAAAAAAAAGGGGTACGTGGAGTGTGAAGGCAGATAGAAAGCGAAGGAAAAGGAAGAGGCGAATGAAGTAGTCAAATACTGTGGCCCCGCCGTGCAGCGAAGGAATAGAACATTATCAACAAAGCAGCATGTGCCAGCCTTTGACACTCAAATGCTAGGTAGCTAAGCTACCCCATATTCCTCTGTCAAGAGTCAATTTGCTGCTTTTCTTTCTTTAATTTGTATGTCATTTGCCTATACAGTACTGTTTATGATGTGTATTTGTATTATAACTCATCCCGTGACCAAGGAATTATTATAAGCCCCATATCATCTCATTATTATTTATATTTATATATTACATCCGCCATTATATTGATTGTGAATGCAAGCAAAGTTTTTGAAAATTGACACCTTGCTCTCTTTTAATTTCTTCTCACATGACTAACCCCATTCACTTTCTTCCCACTTCCATTCACATTACCTTTCAATTTCTTGCCCCAGCTTTCAGAGTCAAATTATGATAAAAACTTCTACCTCCGACGATTAACATAATAGCTGCTTTGACATTCAATTTGGTTATACATATAAGACCTTAATCAACTTTTTTCTCTTATATTTATCCATTAATTTTTCTAAATTAGTCCATAATTGTACATGTTAAATGTTCCATCAAATGGTAGTTCTAGTTGATACACATGATTCGCAAGGGTATTTTAAGTAAAACAACACCAATTTATTACAAATAACTAATTTAACCAATTTTTTTATTTATTCAAACTAGTCAACTAACTCTTATATTAAAGACCAAAAGTAATATTACATACAATTGAAAAACGGTTGCACTTGCTTTTTAAACAAGCTTCTTGAATGGGAGAACCTTTCGGCAATTTTCCCAATAAAAAATGAATCAAAAGCATGAGAACGAAAAGTTTCTAAAATCTTAATTAAACATATGCACTATTAGAATTGAGAGGAAAATATTACTTCGGTGCATGAATGAGCATAATAGGGTAGCTAGGGTGGCTCAGATATAATGACTTCAAAATGAGAGTTCGTATTAAAAAATTAGACATTATCACGTAACTCAGAAACCATTGAAAGGGGCGATTGCTTATAAAATATAGATCAGTGGCCGGAGTTGTGTTTTGCCTCAGGAATGGTATTCTCTTGTCTGTCTCAATTCCCAGCCACCACCCTCTTCAATACTTGTCTTCTACAATCTCTCCCTCCTTCTCCCCCACCCCAAAAAAAAAAAAAATCTATCACACACACACACACACAAAGCACATATCCCTATCAGAAAGTGTAAGCTATTCCAAATTGTGAGTAAATCTTTTGAGCTCATGTCTCGGGCTGTGTGGCCCTTTGATTTCATCCACCTCCGGACCCACACACACACATAAATGAAATTCTCCCACCGAAACTAGCTCAAGTCTCTGCTTAATTTAATATAAAGTGTCCAACTTAAAGAAGCTATGTTCTCTTTAAATTACTAATTAATAATTAGATCCTGTCTTGGCCTCCCCATGTGCAACGACCCTCTCTTAATTACGACACAAATTTATAAACTTTCATCAACATGTAATTAATTATTAACTAAAGTAGTGGTATAAACTATAAACTATGGTTTGTAGATTAGGAAGCAAGGTATCTTTATTCGGTGTCATGTACATAAGACTCATCGCTCCGAATTTTTGTCCATCATTATTATTCATTTTGTACCGACTGATAGAATTGTGCGTATTTTTAATATGTGATTTTTTCCCCACATGTTAAAAGAAGACTTAGACGACAAGTCACCTTAAATTAATCACCAAAGCTTCATTGTCCCAAAAATATATAATTGAGCTTGACCAAAGAAGCATCCCGTGCGCCGCGAGTTTGCTATCTATATATTTGTCATTGGAAATATATATTGACGGAGAGAAGCTTGACGCTAAAAATTAAATTTCTTTTATTTTTGGAAATTTTAGTGTTCTATAATTACAACATCTTGAATAAAAAATTATACAAAAAAGAATATTGAAGAAAGAAGGAAAAGTTTCTACCCGTCTATTTCAATGTTCCCTGACCAAATCCATCTTACTATTGAACGACACATATATGAATAGTCTTGGAGCAAGAAATAGCAGGCTTCCAAAGAATCATAACTTGATTTTGGATACACACTTAGAATCAACGCCCAATGAAGCAATATGAAGAGAGATGTCACAAGTGTTATGAACCGTCGCTTTCTTCTTGAAAATCTTCAGCATCGTTGCTTTTCCAGGAAGTGTAGCCACCGATCTCAGAACCACCGTTCCGTTTTCTTCTGCAATTTCTTTCCAAAAATTGGGATCTTTTATCAACTTTCCAATCATAAAATCTGCAGAAGTTGTCAAATTCACCGTCCTTCTCGCCGGAATCCTTTTACTTTCCAGTGGAACTTCAGCCACGACGATGTCCTGAAAGTTCACATAACCAGTGGAATTCTCGTAACTAAAACTTCCATAGTTCCGATTCACTATCGTAACCGCCATTTTCACAGTCACATTTCCTGATAAACCATTGGGAAACGGAAAACCCATGGGTTTCACAGTAATTTCAGGATTCTTAGGTTTGAAGACGGTGAAGATTAGGGTAATGATCACAGTGGCAAGAATGATCAAGAAGACGAAGAACACAGCAAGGCAGATCTTGAGACCTCTCTTCGGGATGTTCATGGTTCTTGATTCTGGGAATGTAATATTAAGAAAAATGAAGGATTGGGACGATCAAGTATGTAGAGAATCTGAGATATCTATCAGTGAATACTGAATAATATATATATATATATATATATGTATATGAGTGTGAGGAAACTGAATTGATTCTCTGGATAATGTTTCCTTGTAATAGGGATATAGTGTGATCGTGATTCATGAATATTGCTATAAATATGTAACTGATTTAGAGTGCAAAATTGAAATTTTCCTGTTCGGATGGGCATGATCGTCACAAAACGTGCGCGGAAGACAAATTGACGTTATTAGAACATATTAATGTCTTTATTACCGGCAATGAAGTTGAAGAATAAAATGGAGATACGTTTGTTTGACGGTAATGCTCTTTATGTATGGGCTGGTACAGAGTTAAATTAATCATAACCAATTAAAAGGTCGCATTCACGATTATGTTTATGATGACCAATGATTATGGAATACTAAGGCAAAGACAAAATTATAGTCAGTAAATATTCCTAAGAAAAACTATTCGCATCTTTGTTTCTTTGTGATTTTCTGATCATCCATGATCCGAAATCTAGCCACGCACATAGACCTGTAGTCCATGGCCCTCAACCTTCACGATGTACTTGATAAAAAAACACGAGATGAAATAATAGAGAAGACTAATTAATATATATATATTACCGCCACAATTTTTCTATTTAATCTTCTCTCCAAATATGTAAATACATAAATGGAAAGGATCAATTTAATCAATTTGCTTGTGTTTCTAGGCCCCACATCCATTTGTGGATTTGTTCAAATATGTGTTTTTTGTTTTTTTTTGTTTTGCCCAAGTATATTTGTATTTTTGTTAATTCTCATTTTTTGTGTTTACCATAATTTTCCCCAATGCAAGAGGAATTAATCCTCAGATTATGCTCTTCGTGTCTCGCGTACTTCCGATAAAAGGGCGGTGATTTTTTTTTTGACACATACTTTGTATTTTTCAGGAGTTGGGATACAAGGGTGCAGTTTTTCCGTGAAACTTGCATCCACTTTGTTATGAGTCACTTACAGGTCCTTGTGTGGCATTAGTTACTTTTATTTTGCTAAAAGCTACACAATGAACATTATACTCCTCTTATTCTTTATATAAGACCTAACTTAAAAGTTAATATTAGTTCTATATATAAGACCTACTTTACATGATATTTTTAAAGCCTACTTGAACTTAGACGTAAAAAAGAGTCACAGATTTGGGCACAACACAAACAAATGCAAGTGATAATATCATTTGAAAAAAATAATGCATGCAATTAAAAAATAAACGTAATAAAATTTAATAGTAGAGTTATAGTATGTTATGAAGAACTTAGATTTTATATATTATTACCCATAATCCTTTGTATAAATCTAGATTAACTAATTTTCAGAAAATTAGTTAAGCTAGATAGTTATAATAAAAGGAAAATCACAAAAAAAAGGCCTTAAAAATTACAAATAGGGACCTATATATTACAAGATTAGTATGGGTTTTGACAATAATTAATTGCAATTAGTAAAAGGAAAATCACAAAAAAAAGACCTTAGAAATAAAAAATTGTAAATAGGAACCCATTACAAGATTAGTGTGGATTTTGACAACAATTAATAAGCAAATAAGAATAATTTTTGTGAATGGGTTCTTGTATGCAAATTTTCAATTTTAAGGTCTTTTTTATGATTTTTCCTATAATATAAATGAGTACCATCTTTTTTAAAATGTCATTATTAATCATGGGTATTGGAGTTACTCCTTAACAAAAATTCTTTAACATATACAATCACTATAAAAATTACATAGGAAGAAAAACATAAATATATATAAAAAAAAGTAGATTGAAATCTTTTATTTAAAAGCAAATTAAATTTTTAACTCGTTCTTATATTTAGAATTGGAACTAGTATTATATACTGATTAGATTAGTCCATGGCTCCCAGGTGGTACAATGTGGCCGCGGCTGCATTTCTTCAATTGTAAAATATTAGATTTATTATGATTTATATCTTAACGTGCGAAAAAATACTTTCAATCTTGTCCAATTAATTAGAAGACTTGGCTTGAACAGAATTTGAACACGGACTAATCGTATGATAAAAAAAATCAATAAAATCGATTTAAAAATCATGTGACGAAGTTTTTTTTTTTTTTAGTTTACAAAAATCATGTGATGAAGTTGTGTGAACACATCACTTGCCTCCTTAATTATGCGATTTCTGTCAAATTCACCGGATGACCTGGGGTGCAAGTAGTTAATTAATCTGTTGGTGTTAGTGAAGGTATTTTAATTTTTCCTTTTACCAAATTTAGCAAATGTAGATCAGTTCACGTAATTTCCTTGTTTTTGAATGCAGTAAATAGTCTACATACGATCCCATCTTTATTCATGGAAAATAATCCATTCGACCTAACAATAACGGGGAAGAATCAATATATTTAAATTAAATTATGAAAAAAATTACATATTAAATATAATTGGATTTTCACAATTTCATTTAATACTATTAGGTTCCAAAAAAACATTAATATTTACACATCATATTATCTTATTTACAAGTCAAATTAAACAATTTAATAGTTGTGAGCGACACTTCCATGTTTATAAGTCAGGTTAATTACGTAGAATCAAACTCATATAGATTGTAAATATTAATTCTTTGGGACGTATATATGAGTAATTTTCTCATTAGTAATTTAGAGTTTAAACTCTGGATGCCAAGTAAGATAGATTTTCAAGTAAATCTTGAAGATTTACAAGTCAAACTTCTCAGCTTTGCTAGTCAATTGGTCGTGAGCCCTTGGTCAATGTCAATCAAAGAGAATGAAGAAGAACATTCATGTAATTTCACATAGGAAATTAGTTACAACCAAGAACCAACTCTTGTTACACTTAAAAATTATGTTCACAAATTTATATATAGGACTTATTTGTAAATAAGTCTCTTAATTAAGACTTATATATAATTTTTTTGATTTTTTTTTCATATATTTTATTGGTGAATAATATTTTAATTTGACCTTAAGCAAGGCCCGAGGGAATAAACCGCTGGAGTCTCTGAAGAGCACTCCTAACTCTGAAGATCTAAGAGGGCCAACTCATTCCAAAGTCCATTCATATAACAGTTAGTTCATACTAGTCTATTATATCTATATATCTACGTAATTATTTGCACAAAATTTTTATCAAATTGTATTATTTCATAAATTATAAACAATATATAAATTATCAACACTCATAAATTATAAAAAATGTGAGGATTTTGTTATCATGATATTATGATATTTGAATCGCAATTTATAGCAAAAATTGCCATAAATAAACCATATCATGTATATGAATATAAAGCTGTTAATTCTAATGCCCGAAATTCCAACATTAGGCATTAGCTGATGAAATTGCATGCTTCTCGACTCCAGCCTCCACCTCTCTGATACGTCGACAAGCTCCGACAGAAAAAAGAGTAACCAGTGGCCGGTAGTATGGTAATATTACCTCCGGTACTTGTAAAAATCAGTTAATTAATTTAAATAGATTAAAAAATTAATTAAGTTATTTATTTGTAATAAATAGGTGTTAATTAGTTAGAACTACCATTTGATGACATTTTAAACATGTACAGCTACTACAATGATTAATTTGAAAAAATGAATAAATATAATAAACAAGATGGATTAGACTTTTATATTTAGAATCAAATCAAATTTTAAATTAATTTTTATATTAAAAGTTTTACTTTAAAAAATAAAAATTCCACTCATTTTGCATATATAACCGTCATATTTTATTTATTAACTATAGATATAGATGTATCTTAATTAAGTTTATACGCTTTTGCCGTATTAAACTCAAATATAACTAAAAATAGAATTGAGGTCAACCAAAAAGGTAAAAAGCACAAATATTAACCTTTTCATAAAATCATTATTTTTGGCGAATTTTTTTTCATAAATATAGAACTAATTGTACAGAATGTTAAAAAATAAATGCCATAGTTGAATTCTACAAAAAGAATTATTTTTAAATACCTATTTTTTAATAGATGGTTATGTTTTGCAAAGAATTAAATATACTACTCTATTCCGGCAAAAAAAAAAAAAAGAATATGCTGCTCTATCATACTTTGTTTCCTTTCTAAAATAATTTCGTTACAAATAACTAATTTTTTTTCAGAAAATATAGTAATCAATTAACAAAATTTCGTATTAATAAACAAATCAATATAACACTCCCCCATTCAAAAGATAAGATAAACTTTATTAGAAATTTTTTTTTATAAGATAACATTCACTTTTATCTAAATATTTAATATTTTTTTAATTTTATCCCTAATATTTACTCTCTTTTTTCTTTGATTAATTTATTAATTTATTATTAATAAATATATATTTAAAAAAATACATATCTTATATATTTATTGTTTTAAATTAATTAAGTTTATTTTACATTATTAAATTAAATTAATGCCAACGACGGGATTCGGCCGTATGTAACGCCTTTCGTGCCAAAGCGTTTGTTGTCTCTGTGTTGTTTCGCCGGCCACCGTCCAGCAAAGCATTATTACCGTCTTCAGACTTCAATCTTCGTATCTTTCCCTTTTCTTGGTTTGCACAATCTCTTTCTCTCTCCGCCCGCTCCAAGCCCGTTTTGATCTGATCAAGATGAACGACCTGCTCTCTGTAAGTCCATATCAAATTCTATTAACCAAATTCCACATGCTTCCATCAGTTCGTGTTTGATTACTAGTTTTGAGTTTCAATTTTTGTTTCCTCTTGCCGAATTTTCTGCTCTTGTTCTGATTTTGAGTGTTTGATTCGACAATATGTCTGCACTTTTCAGTATCACCTGATAGTGTGGTGCTACCCCGCCCCGCCACCTCCCCTTCCTTAAATTTAATAAGAAATTATCGTGCTTGATCTCCAAGGGAATTAGAAAGTCGTCAAAGTTTCCCTAAAGATACCGTCTTCCTTTAACTATCAATCAATTTCTATTGTGAAAGTTCGTAACTCGCCTCATTGGGACTCTAGTTGTACTGTTGTAGTGTGCTCTGCTTTTCCAGGATTGGTTATGTTTGCTATTTTAACATTGCTGCGTGAATTGGACCCAAAAAGGAAGGAAGGCAGGGGAAGCTGATGTAATTCTTTGGTTTCTAGGATGAATTCTGAAAGTAGTTTTGGCTCTTTCTTCTATTGTAATTTTTTCACTTTGGTGTGAAATTAAGCATTAGGTTGTGCTTCCACCTCAAAATGTATAGATAAGGTTGTCCTATTTGAATTATTTTCTTGTAGGATTCATTTGTTGGCGACAGCAAAGGTCAGCCTTCTCGACAGAGTGATATTGAGATGGGAACACAAGGTCCAGGGAACAACTATGACATGGGAATGGATGCTTTTAATAAGCAGGTGCACAATTTTCATGCTTTTTAAGCCTTTTCAGATTCAAGATGTTAATTTGTCTACTTGGCTTTGTACACATTTCTTTTCTCATATAATTAAAACTAATGTGAGTCTTGGAGCATGAATCAAACTGATCAAACTTTCAATTCCCTTGTCTTTCTTTTCAGCAACGAGTTTGTTAATATTTCAGTTCAATATCTAACATTTACTAATATATTTAATTCTGGTTGTAGATCGCAGAGGCTGATAAACAGATTGATAAGCTGTCGGGGCTTCTTAAAAAACTTAAGGCATGTACTTTTTCTTCGTCATATTCCTTATCATTATTGGCAGTAAGCTCTCAAAGGTTATGATCTGTAAATCAAATCTTCTCTTTGCTGATACTTTATGTAAGTTCCGTGATTTTGTGAATAAGAGCAAATATTATAAAATTCATTGAATTTGTCTTTTACGATTTTTTTTAATCAAGGATTTGGTGGAAATTTCTACTCCTGCTAGTGTTTGGATCCTTACCAAGGGTCAACAATACTAGTATAACATATTGTTGATGGCTTATTGTGTAAAAGGCACTCGTGCCTGGTCACACTTAGTATTATGTAGATCCTTCTGGTTATCATACATAAAACCATATTATTCAATTGTCTTTGTGTGGCTGAAGCTCATGCAAGTTCCACTCTACACCACAGTGATCAGGGACTATTCCTGCATTAATTTGTTATCTCCTGGGGACTAGGTGGACAGGTGAACCAAATCATTTAATTACAGTTAAGGGAAAAGAAATAGTAATGAAGTTAAATAATCATAAATTTGTCAAAATTGACCATGACAGTCAATTCATTGTAAATTTCTACAATAAACTTCAATGGAACATATTTTTCATATTTGTTAATTAACTGTTGAATTGTTTCTCCTTTGTGAGTGATATACTCCTTACTTAGAAATTCAAGTCCATTGTTATGCTAGTTTGAAATTTAGTAGTCATTTTGGAATTTCTAGAATAGATGTTCTTGAGTGCTTCCTCAGATGATAACTGTTTCATGTGAGTAAGGGGGCTTTTTACAGGAAGCCAATGAGGAGTCCAAATCTGTCACAAAAGCTTCAGCCATGAAAGGTATATCATGGTGCCATTTCTTTTTGTTAACATCAGAACTGAATATGTACCTACTTGGTTTTGTAACCTGCCAGTTATTTCAGATGAGTAGCAGTTTCCTTGGCAACTCAGAGGAGAAATAATTATTACTGTTTAACAATGCATCACTATTGGATGTTGATTTTTTTTTTTTTTTAACGACACCAACAACGCTGTGAAATTGTTTTCAGCTATCAAGAAGAGGATGGAAAAAGATATTGATGAAGTTGGAAAGATTGCACGTACGGTCAAAGCAAAAATAGAAGCTATAAACAAAGATGTACTGAGATACTGGACAATTTTTCTGTTATTAGATTCCAGTGGTATGAAAATTTAAGGAACTTTGAATAAGTATGTAATCAGGTATTGTTCTCTGTATGCAGAATCTAGCCAACAGACAAAAGCCTGGTTGCGAGAAGGGAACTGGTGTTGATAGAGCGAGGATGAACATGACAAAGTTAGTTGCCAGTGTATAAATTTATTGTTGTACTTCATAAAGCAAAGTAGAAAGCTGAAGTTTTTTTCCCCCATTGACATGACAGTTCTTTGACAAAAAGGTTTAAGGATCTAATGACAGAGTTTCAGGTATGTTAACCTGTTCACATTATTAGCTGGCCATCAAAATTTCAACTCTATCTGCTGATAGATATAGTATGTTTCAGACTCTTAGACAAAGAATACAAGATGAATATCGTGAGGTGGTAGAGAGAAGAGTTATCACAGGTTTAAATATTCTCCCTTATGACGGAATTATTATTGTAACAGTATGATAGTACAATTGTTCTTTTGTTTACTTATCTATTTAGTTTATCTTGTTCTCATGTTTTTCAATTTGTGATTGTATGATTTGATTAATCAGTCACGGGAACTAGACCAGATGATGAGGTAAGTCTGAAGTGTAAATTTGTGATTTGAACTATACGAAATATAAATTTTGTTGTAATTGGTCAAGTTTAATGACTGTCTTAGACAATTGACCAACTAATAGAAACGGGAAGCAGTGAGCAAATCTTTCAGAAGGCTATGCTAGAAACGGGAAGAGGACAGGTACTTGGTTTGTGATGTTAGATATGAATAAATTTAGACAGTTTCATGCATTTTGTTTTTATTCAAAAAATAAACAAGGGATCATTCCATCATATTCAGTGGCCTTCTTTCTATATAGTATCTTCGGATGGTGTGTTTTATTGAAATTTTTGGCGGCTTTATTATTTACTGAAAAGTAGTTGTTCCAATGGGACAATTATTACGGGTTGTCGGGGGTGTTATCATAAGTTGCTCCTCTGTGATTGACAAGTGGTGTTAATAGATTGATTTTCTGATGGAAAATGCCTTCATTTTAGACAATGAAGCCATCCCCTTAATACCAATCTAAAGATATACATCCTTACTGAGATTTATGATTATGCTGGAAAGGTATGAAGCTGGACTTTTGGAAAAATTGGACAATGAACTTCATACCTACTGTTTTGTTGGTGTTTCGTTCCTAGTCTTATTTTATTCATAGCCGTAACTGGGGCTTCTTTGTTGATATGAAATTTTGCATTATTTGATATGATGGTCAGTGGAGCAAAAATTCTGCTTGCTTTGTTTAATTCACTAACTTTTTGATAGATTTGGTTCCTATTCTTTTTTATTCATAAAATTTGGGATGTCATAGGTGTTAAATACAGTGGAAGAAATTCAGGAGAGACACGATACTGTTAAGGAAATTGAGAAAAGGCTTCTTGATTTACACCAGGTTTACCTGCACAGATCTTAATTTCACGTTTTAATAATTTAGATGATGATGATGATGAACGGTTTATCTAATGCCATGCATGTTACTTCTCAGATCTACCTTGACATGGCAGTGTTGGTTGATGCTCAAGGAGAAATTTTAGATAACATTGAAAGTCAGGTTTGCTTGTGTTTTCGCTCCCCTGATTTTATGATTGTATATGCTTGCACATAGAATGCGGAGTATTTTTAGTCGAGTTTACATTAATCAGAACCTTATTCAGGTTAACAATGCAGTCGATCATGTCCAGAGAGGGACATCTGTGCTACAAAATGCTAAGAAACTGCAGAAGAACTCTCGAAAATGGATGTGCATTGCCATCATTATACTATTATTGATAGTAGCTGTCATAGTTGTTGGTGTTATCCAACCGTGGAAGAGTAGCAAGGGCGCTTGAGTGTGCTACTCTGCTCCTTGTCCATACACAAATACACGCGCTCGCACGCACGCTTATATATATAGTGGTTTGATTAGTTGAGATAAGATTTGCTAATTTTCTTGAGTGAGTTAGCGGCACATCTTGTTTTCATGTTTATTTTGTTAATTCTTGGTCTGTTACTGCTGCTGTGATTGACTTGACTTCTGACTAATTTATTAATGGTGTTTTGCCCGTAGATGTGAAAGTCACATTCCTTGTAACCTTCATAAATCCGAATATTTTACATTTCTAAATTGATTGCAAATAATGCAGTTGAAAAGGAGAGTAATGAGAAAGGATGAGTGTAAAAATAAGGAAAAAGGGTTCCTAGTTAGTCTTATATTTCCTCCCGGATTCTCTCTTCCAAGACCGTAGAAGATCCAATATCAGCATTCATTTGCTTTGCTGATTGTATTGCTACTGCTATTCTATTGAAGAACCCCTTCTTAGTTCCCACACAGAGAGAGAGAGAGAGAGAGAGAGAGACTAATGTGGAAGCATATTTAAGGGAAGGAGTGAAATTTTGGGAATAAGGAGCAGTGAATTGTAGGAAGACCATCCTCGTATCCACCTTCTTAAACTCCTTGGGACTTAGACTGAAGGTGGTCACGGGACGATGTTATTTTAGGTGGAACTGAACTTTTTAAACAAGCATTCCTTTGCTAATATTTGTTAGGATCAAATAACCACAATACGGTTTGTGGGTTTAATTTCAAATTTTGAATTGATTAATTACATTGTAAGGTTATTTGGTCGGTAGTGAAATGAGATTACTACAACTAAATTGAGGGTTAAGGTACATACAATATCTTGAAATATTTTTTCAGATGCATTCAGTACCTTAAAGTATCATGTGGTTATTTAGTATCTTAAAGTATTTCTCTAGATGCTTCTAACATTGTAAAGTATTTTTTACGTACATCTAACATCTCAAAGTATTTTTTTTAAATTGCGTCCAACACCCAAAATATTTTTTGGTCCATCTAGCACTAAGACAAAAAAAAAAACTTCAAAATGCTGAATACACTTAGAAAATATTTTAGTATGCTAAATGCACCACAAAATGTTTTTGGGTGCTACATGTTCTTGAAAAAATATTTCAGAATACTAGATAATCTTAACCTTTAAATTTATTTTATTTGTTTGCCCTTTGTCATATTCAAAGTAATAACTATTAAAAAAACTCCGGTATCCATACTTTTTTCAAGATATTTCTTATCTCACCAGACATTAAAAGGAATGCTATTTTCCCTTTTTCAAGTCAATCATGATTTTGGCGTACATTCAGTCACTAGTGGTCCACACAACTAGTCACTGTTGGCAATGGCACAGATTGTACCAGTGTCCCAATACAGAAGGTTGTGACTTAACATGGATAACAGGGCATGGGTTAGACAAACTGTGAAGGACTAGTGATAAATCATTGTCAATTTCCCCTGAAAGTGCATCATTTTTCTTTTGTATATCTCTTTGTGCTTCATGCATAATATTAACTCTTCGTTGCTAGTATTAGTTTCTTGAGTATGTGGATAAGTTTCACTTTCTGATTTTCTTGGCTTTCAAATTAGCTGCTGGAAATGTCAGTTTTACATCTATTGGCCCTTTGACAAGTAAGATTCACTCCTTATTTGTGACCTCTAACTCAGCCGTGATTTCCGAAAAATATAAGAAGTCTGCTTCTCAAAAGTCATCATTTTACCTACCCAACATGATTTTGCTTTGTCATGTCTCTCCTCTTCAAGACGATGATGTTAAAGCACTCATCCAGGCTAGTATTATCTCCTTAGATCTCTCTCTCTGGGGTAACTACCCTGCCGTCTATTCCCCAAGTTTCTTTTACGGTAAAACCAAATAATGCCATGTTTGGAGAACATCAAATAGTATCATCTACATTTTTATCAAATACTACTCGAGTAGAATAGGATAGGGCACTTTTTGGTCGGTAAAGTAAGGAGTCCAAGATCTACAGTCTACACAATTGCCGGAGGCTATAGGTTTTTCTGTGGAGGAAAAATCCGAATTTCCATCGCATCCGCACGTCGCATCCTCCAATGAAGATTCTTCTGTCTGATGCCTCCTAAACTTTGGTTTCATTTCCCAGATATTTCATTACTTCTGAGATAAATGAAATATTTTGATGTCATATGGTGTACGCTAGGACAAAACGTTTAACTTTTTATGACCCAGTATCACACGATCGAGTTGTTTCAAAGAAAGTCTTTTTATTGTTTATATAACAAACATTTCGAATACTCAAGTGGAGAGTTCATTTCCTTCTGTCTAATATATAATCGAGCTTCACTTATGCCTTATGATGCCTTGTCCAAGCCATGCTCCCCCCCCCCCCCAAAAAAAAAGACCTAACAGATGTTTACGACATTCTCTTTTTAACAGGTGGCAAATGCAACTGATCATGTGAAATCGGGTACAGATGCTCTCCACACTGCAAAGAGCTTGCAGAAGAGGTCAAGGAAGTGCATGATGATTTCCATTATCCTTCTCCTGGTGATCGCCGCTATTGTGGTACTCTCTATACTTAAACCATGGAAGAAGTAACCAGTAAGAGAAAAGTAATATCCATCTCAATGAACTACTTTACATGTCAGTTTTCCCCGTTAAATAAGCACTTTGACAATTGATTGGCCAGAGTTTGTTACTTGCACAACTGGCCAAATTTGCCTTCTTTTTAAGAATGCATGCACGGCTGATGGAGATAAAATTGCAATTTTTTTTTATTTTTTATTTTGGCATCCACTGCTTTCAAATTTTTAACCTCGTTTACCGCCTTCTTCTGTGAGAGCCCTGTATACTTTCAGTTTCAGTAGATGAAAGGGTTTCTGGAAAATTAAACAGGATATCAGGCTCTAATATCAGGCAAAATATAGAAGCCAGCACACGGAGGTAAGCTTGGATTCTGTTGAAGACATGTATTGGAAAACATTAAAATGATTGAGGATGATTAGAAAATCCAGAAAAGAGTAGAGAGATGCCAAGACTTCAGAGCAGATATGACCAAAGTAGAAGTAAACTCACTAGTTAGAGGACAATAATCTTAAAGTCAACATTGAGTATAAGAAACTGCAATTGTGCTTTCATCAAGTAAGATCCCATCTAAGTTCCATAAACCTTACACTGAGTTAAAGCTTCGGTAGTAAACCTTACACCGAGTTAAAGCTTCGGTAGTCTTACCATCCATTCTCTGCATTGCTGGTTGCGGCCGATATCTTATGTTGATGGAAAACACTCCGTTGAACACTATCGCACAAGATCAATATTGATGATTGCACTGGAACATATGTAATATAGATTATGAAATATCAAAAATTCCCCATGTCCGAGCATTCAGACCAAGTTTTAACAAGCCAACATGAAAGAAAACCTGGGGGCAGGGCCTGGAGCAATCACTAATCTTGCTTATCCTTGAAATGAATAGACACCTAAATATTGCATATTCCTTGCATCTGAAAGAGAAAGACTGCAGATTTAAACTTCACTGTCCATATGCCATGAAGGGCAATGGACTATTCTGAAAGTTTGATCATTTCTATGAGAAATAATAGTTAATAGAAAAGATACCAACTTCAAGCTGTTACCACCAAATCGAAAGAGTTTCACTATTCCCATCCCCTGGATAATACTTAACATATTCCCTTTCCATTGTTTTGTATTATGTCGTCATCCTTCCAAGACCTTTTTTAAGATTAGCATGTAACAAAGGTACATCATCTAAGTTCCCAAAGTTCCATTGCAATTTCTGATGTGATGTTTTGAATGCCAGCTTGTTAAGAGAAATATATACACCTTCTGACACAGCTTCCTCCTTCATCCCTTATCTAAACTCTTGCCTTTTAAATGGGGAAAGAATTATTATTTTATGGGTACTTTAGGTGTTCTGATTCATCTTAAGCTACAAGGACTTCAATTTTATCTTCCCTTTTATGATGGACAACAATATGCATCGTATGCACTGTGGTAAGAAGATAAATATGAACCCTTCACCTTAAATCTTCAATTTCAAGAGAGTCTTTGGGACGATAGCACATCTGTGTCACTCAAAAAATGAACTCTTTGGCTGATATATCAAAGAGAAGTGTTTTGCATTCAAAGAAGAAAGTAATCATATTATTCTACTCTTTTAGCTAATGAATATTTATATACTATTTCACTGCCAATCTATGTATTGAAAAAGAGATCTCCTATACTGCTTCAGTCCTGCAAGCTACAACCATAAACATTGTCATGAATAGTATTAACTAATTCTCCATCCATAATTTGCAATATCATGTCAACAACCCAAAACCTTATCTGTACCTTGAGCCTAACAGAAAGATGCCTTAGAAGTATGAATATCCCAAGTGAAATTCTAACATGTCGTGGTAAACTTTCTATTTAACAAAAACTTCTTAACCACGAGAGTGAAAAATACGGAGAGACATGAAAAGTATACAGACCCCCAAAAAAAAAAAAATGCATGAGCTAATTTTACAAATTACTGAATCTAAGTAGTGATAATTCCACTTGTATGAAAATCTCGAGCATAAAGGAAGGGAAAACACAACATTATGCAGAAACATTATGTATGACCCAATAAACAAAGCACATGCTTATCTCCGTTATTTGTATGGTATTCCCTTCTTAGACGATCTTTCTGTATCTTGTCAACTTCCGTTGTAATCAATTTCTGACAGCCTGTATGCATTTGTACCTAATCAATCCTCAAACACCATGATTTGTATGCAAAATACCTCCCTCTTCCCACATAAAGCATTCTCTGTATGCTACCAAAGGAGCTATCAGACAGATAAAAAATACAGCCAGTGCACAAAGAATTAGCTGGGAGATACGATGGTTGTGGATTATCCAAATGCATGTGAAACAGAGTCTGCAAGATGCTGGGTAGAGGGGGGCGAGGGGAATTTTGTCCTATGAACTACTTTTGGGTTTCTGAAGGTTCGAAACGCCAATTCTGTAAGGGAAAATGGCACAAATAACTAGGGAACTGAAACAAAGCAGCCTGCATTAATATTTTAACAAAAATTGGTGACGTTTGAGGTGAGCATTTGAATATACCATATAGCAAGCAGAAAACACATCAATCCATCATCCTTTCTGGTAAATGACACGACACATGAATTTTTTTCTTAATATACCGAAGACATAAAAAGAAAACAAGAAAATTAACCAATATGAAAGCAAAGAACCGAAAGATCCTTACCTGGCAAAGATAAAGCAATTTAAATTCCAGAATTCGATTCAAGTGCAAGTGACATCGAAGGCCTCAATGAAGTTTCAATTTACCTTAATCTGAATCCCATAACTAGTAAGCAGATATATCCTGAACATTTGTTATTAAAAATCATAGCGGGCAATATAAATCGATTGATCCGAATCTGACCAAAAAAACAAAAGCAAAGAACGGAGAAAAAATTGGGAATCTAAGCATTCATGTTCAGGCGACCGAGATCGAAATCTAAGTCTGCACTGAACTTGTTACGAAGTTAATTCATTAATATTCAAACTTTTGCTTTTTCATGAGATCCACAAAGCCGAACTAACCCACAAGGCGAAGAAGGAAACAGAACTACAGAATAAATCAACACAGTCATTCTTCCTTTCAATTTCCTCAACAACCAAACAGCATATAAGTAAGATCGGCTTAGATTTATCGAATTAAAATAAAGATAGTATGGCACGAACTAAAGTGAGCTAGATAATAAACGCATTAAGAGGTCGAAAAGGAAGATAAAAAAAAGCTCCGAAGAATCAAAGCGTCTAGGAGAAAATCAAAGATAGGTTGAACCTGAGAGAAGGTAAAGTTTGTGCCTTGGAAATTTTAATCATCAGAGGAGAGCTTGCTTTCAGATCTTCGACTCCGACGACCTACAATCCTTGTTGGCCGATCAAGTCCAACCTTCTCATCTGATTGATGGTGCTCGGTGTGGAGGAGGAAAAGGAAAGAGACACTGCGAGTGCGAGAAAGCGACAGTGGATGTAAGGCGGAAGGTGACAGACACAGTGCGTTGGCTAACGTGGCAAATAACGCGCGATTATAGTGTCAACGCATCCACAGGCCATAGCAGGGGTTCATTCGGGGAAGAAAAAAAAACTTTCTTGCCTAATTTTTTATTTAATGCAAACATTAATTTTATGTTTAATATGAAAATGGAAAAGCTTTTTTTTATTGGCCGGAAAAGTTTGAATATGAAAAGGAGCCGTTGTTTTCTTTCTTCCCTTGTGTCATGATTTTAGGTAATTAAGGAATTTGCTTTGAAATTCATTAAAATAATGGTTTAGAACCAAATAAGATCTTTCATGAGCTTCTTGAAAATATACTCTCCTTAGAAGGTACACTTACTCTCAATTCATGACATAGAGTATTAAAAATTAAAAATTAAAAAATTCCCAATTGTTGCCAAACAAAATAAAAATTTAAACGAGGAGCCGCGTATATTCACTTCCATATATGAGTTCTTCTCTTCATTGGAAAAACTGGACGTAATTAAGATCCATTCCTAATGCATCGTTAAGTCAAGTCAACATCAGTTAACGAAAAATGAAGAGGCAGAAAACAAAATAAAATAAGCTTCAGGGGTATTATTTCGAGCATAAAAGGATTAGACCAAATCAAACAACAAAAATGAGTTCCTTCCTCCTCCAATGAGAATTCGAGGGCTTTAACGAGCGCGAGACTGAGAAGTAAAACAACAGCAAAATGACTCAACAATATAGTCTAGACAGTTATTATTCCTGCACGTTTATTCCAATCCTTAAAATACTTGAATTGGTTCGATTCTACATTCTGGCCTTGGCAACGACCACAGTCCCTCCACCAATATCCACTGTTCCAGGTCTAGTCCAAGTTTGCTTGAATTGCTCCTCAGTCACTCCTGCAAAACAACATCAAACAACAAAAATCATTATAAAGTTCCAATCTTTATTCACAAAGCAAACACAAAAGATGTTATGTTCCTTCATGACTTACCTTTGCCCATTGCGGCAGTTGACGCCACTCCTCCCTGCACAGTCTTAAGGTACTTATCATAATAATTAGCCCCTGCCCATTTCTGATGAGCAAGTGTATCAACCCCATTATTTCTCTCCTCTCTCTGAATCTTCTCTACATAAGCCAGCATTCCCCTCTTTGCAAAATCCCTTGCAAATGTTGAAGTAATTAGTGCATTTGAGTGTAAACCACCCACAGTTATGAACTGCCACACGTACCCCAACTTTGCAATTCTGGGTATGAACTCAATCATTTGTTCATCAGTCATCCCAGAAGCATCCCAGTTAAATGATGGAGAAAGATTATAACCCAGCATTATCTCTGGGTATTTAGACTTCACCCCTTCAGCAAATTGGGCACACTCAACCAAATTGGGGTGTTTGGTTTCCATCCATAGCAAATCAGCATGTGGAGCAAAAGACCATCCACGTACGATTGCTGCCATAACAGACCCTTTGAATCTGTAAAACCCTTCTCTTGTTCTAGGCAAGTCCCAATCCCAGAAGAGGTTTCTCACGCCCAATCTCTCAGCAATCTCTCTTCCTTCCTCATTAGACAGACACTTCTCATAACTCGAATATCGCATCCATTCATTCAACCTCCTTTTCTTATCTTCTTTCCCAATACTCATGCTCTTAATTGCATCTTCAACTGCCTCAGAAAAAGTTTTCAACCTTGCTATTGATAGCCACTGGTCTTCAATAGCCTGAAGCTCAGCCCCGTTTTTCCCCGCAGCCATATTCTCTGCCATAAGAGTGGCCAAGCTTTTTCCTTTCAGGCTCGGGTTGGTCACACCCAGTATAAACTGATGGTCCCTTGTGTCTATATTAGACTGAATCAGAGTAGCTGCTTCTGCATCAGTTCTAGCCACCAGTACTGTTTCCACTCCCATCACATCAAATTGCAGCCTCGCAGCCACAAGCCTATTGATGTGTTCACTAATGGCCACTAGAACTTTTCCTGCCATGTGACCACATTTTTTGGTCACAGAGGATTGATCTTCGATGTGGACACCGGCAGCACCACGTTCAACAAAAAGCTTGCAGAGCTTGACAGTGGCTGTAGTGCCGCCAAAGCCGGTATCGCCATCGGCTATGATGGGTCTCAAGTAATCAACATATGGGGTTCTGGCTCTTTCTTCTCTGCTCATTCTCATTCTTTCTTCTCTCTGTTTTCTGTCATGGAATTGCTGGGCAAAGAATAGGTGTTCAACCTGAAAGAAGTCATGATAATCATTAGAACATGGAAATGTAGAATTGTTGTGTTTCACCTTGAGTGGTATTATATGATATGACTGTATTAATTACCTTGTTGGGGACGGTATCGTAAGGGTAATCGGCGAGGTCGGGGCCGGGTTCGTTGGTGGTGGCGGCGGTGGAGGAACATTGCCAGCCGGAGACGTAGATGGTATCCAAGTGGTGAGCCATTTGGGTGACCTGAACAGGATCGAGTGCACCAAAGGTCCTTGAGGCTGTGCCATTGGCTTGATGGGTCTTGAGGGTTCGCCATAGCTTCTTGGCCATCTCGTTGGACCCATAGGTTTGCCTGAGGTTGCCTCGCAGGGCCACTACGTCCCTCGCCGAATACGGTCGCCGGGTTAGCCTGAACCTCTCCGAGTTCCACCATGCTTGCACCTCTGCTACTTCAGCTTCAAACCTTGCTTCCTCTTCCATCATCTGTTCATATAACTAGCTTTTCATGAAATTATCAAAAAAGAAAGAGAAAAATTGAAGGGAGAGTGATTTTGGTTCAGAATCAGAGATTCCTAGTATTGTTAGCTAATTTACTATTTATGTGTGGGTTTCCTCACAGAATTTCTTCTTATCCAACAAACGCACGTATCAGTACTACACGTACATTCTCATTATTACATCTGATGTTAAATTCTCTGATTTAGAGCGTTCAGAGTTAAAATTCCCAGACTTGTATGATTGATATCCTCATTTTAATGAAGGAAACAATCAGACAAACAGTTGCATGCTAAGAAGACCTCTTGAAGGTTAATATAATAGTCTTGAATGTCTTATTTTCTGAATGCTATCGAGATTCTCTGTTTCAAAGCTAAACCATGTGCACTTGAGTTCCTTGGGGGAAAAGTGAATACTAAGTTTCGTATTTTGCTTCAGGGTCGTTGCGGAAAAAATGGATATGCTCCAAGGTAAGTAAAATCCTTGGTCTTGTATCGAATCTCCAAAGCTAAAGTCTTCTCTAAAACCAATTCTGATGGGCTCAGGTGTTTGAAGTTTATCTTTAATTAGTCGTTATTTTTTAAATTTATATTTAAAAAGCGTCTTTATTTTTTTGCCGATATATCACCGATATGCATAAAATCTATAATCTATAGCAAGTGTTTACTTATAAATCATGAATAAAGTGGCTCAATTCAAACTGGGTGCCACACACGGTTCCCGCCATCTGGTATCATGAATCTAAATGCATTGCAAGATGTTATTTTCTGAGGACTCGAACTCACTGATCAGTTAACCCAGAAGAGATCGCAAGGTTCACATTTATATAAATATAGAACAAGAACTTGTCTTATTTATCCACCAAATTAAACAATGTAGGATGGATAACTAGACTGCAAGAGCAACAGACTAAAACTCTACGTATATATTGCACAATAAAATTTATGTTGAAGCTCGGTCATAACAAGACTGAAGAAATGAAAAAGATAGGGCTTACCAAGGAGGGCGCAGAGAAAGATGTAGCCATGGATATATATAAAACTTCTCTTTTCTTGTTCTGTGTAAATAAATCGGAGAACTAGGAGAGGTTCATGGAGGGAAAAGCTGCTGCAAGGTGTTCAATTTATACGAAAGAAGGTTCCACTGCATGTGCTTCTGGATCGCATTCATGATTAAATAATCAAATAAAATATTTTTATTGCCATATATGTCATCAGGAAAAGATCGAAACTTGTCAATTTTTAGAGTTGCATTTTGAGGCAGACGTATGGTGATGGGTTGATGGCGTTCTATACATCCCGTCCCTCAACTCTTTTGTCATCTTTCGTTATCGTAGTATAATCAATTTCACGCCATCTTAACTGATTCTGTTTTCCCCTCTTGACTTGGCTGGCTTGTTCGTTCTCTGTCTTTGTAAATAATTAAGGATCTGTTTGGGTATCCCCAAACCGTGGTTTCAGAAGCACTTTTCCGCAAAACGAGATAATCTCCTCCACATATTTACTTCGTAATCCGTAAAAACACTTCTAAAACAATGGTTTGGATTTTATCCAAACACACCCTGTAGATTACGTAAATTTGCTTTTTAATTTGAAACTCTGCTTCCTTAATTGCCTTGCTAACTTGTTGCACAGAATAAGTATATAGAGGCCAATATAAAAATCAACGCGCTTAGATTTCTAGTAAAAAGAATCAATCTCACGAATCAAAATTTGAATTTCTACTGGGAGAAACCTCCACTGTTCGAATAGTAAAATGTGTAACAAAAGGAATATAGGAAGAAGATGGGACGTTGGAATGAGATGTGTACGTCCCAGGGGGGAGAGAGGTTGTGCATTATTGGGTTCGGGAGAGGAATGTCAGGATTGGATTGGTGTAATGATGAAAGACACTAAGTTATGAATTACGATAAGGGAGGCTGGGGGGGCGGGGGGTATGGGAGCGTGGATGGATAGAGAGATAAATACAAAGCGTGAGGAATGAGGATAAGTAAGTCAGAGGGTTAGGAGGAATGGGAGGTCGCTTTTATCTTGGGATTTACAACGTTTCAGTGCCCATAAGCATGATACTATGATATCGTGGTTGGATTGAAATTTACTTTATTTACATACAGTTTTAGGGGTGTTTCAAATCATAATTTTAAAAGTATTTTTATGATATACGAAATAAATATGTGAAGAAATTTGTCTCGTTTTGGAGACGGTGCTTCCAAACACCTCTTTAATAGTTGGCTGCAGATAATACTGCGAAGATTACGTTTTGATCACTTCGAGACGCTCATCTTCCTCGCATTTCTTTTTTGCACCCTTGACCAGAATAACATGCATGTACTTACAGAGAAAGTGGGTATTTAATCAGTGTTTCATATGTCTATATCTATATACAGATGTCTCAATGCTCGTTAGTGAAGTAAAAGCTGGAATATTCAAATCTGCTGCAAAGCTGTTTAGATTTAAAGTTTTTAGATCTATAATTTTCTGTCTTTATTTAAATAAAAAATAAAAAAGATTTAAAATGTTTACCGATTCGCGGTCCCCACTGTATGGCTGTGTCAGAGTCAGAGAGATTGGGGGGGTGTTCACCCCTTGGATAAATCTAAAATTACATTGGGCCTAAGGAATTCTTTATTGGGCTTCAGAAGGCTTAAGGAGAATCTTTTGTTCACTTGGTCTTCTAAAGATATTGGGCACCGCAAAGCTTTGCAGGAGAATAACATGTCGAGCTGGCGAGGCCCATGACCCCTCTCCTCATCAAAAACGTCTTCAAAGAAATTTGAGTTCCAAAATTAGCCGAACGTTTTCTCAAAGAGAAGAATTATTTTATTCATCTACAACAAAAATACTCGTGTGTGCAAAATCCTCCATGCTTCAGGAAAAAGTCAAAACATTAACTTTCACTCAAATTCAGGAAAAATGTTCACATTTAATTTAGTGTCTTAATTGCGTTAAATATGATTGTCTTTGATGGAAGGGTAACTGTGGCCAACCAAAAAAAAAAATCTTGCTTTTGCTTATAAAATCATTGGATACATGTGTCGGGGAAAAAAAAAAACTTGCTCTCCCTCATGAATGATCAATTTTTGATCGAAGAGTAAAACGCGGCTCTGGGATAAAAGCGCAATCAAGAATGCCAAAAGTTGCATTCCCTTAATATGTGAAGACAGGACAGAAGAACAACACGAGAAGGAAGAAACTGAAAAGGGGATGCACGAATGTCTTGTCACTATCAAATGCAATTTATTACCTCACAAGAGAGAGGGGAGCAAAAGGCTTGTTCAGATGAACATTTTCTCTCACCCTGCTTCATGGTGATTCTAGAAAATAACATGATATATATATACACTCTTTTAGTTTTAAATATAAAATTCTTATACTAATGTGTATAAAGGTTTTATATTTAGAACTGGAAGAATATTATATATATATATATAAGTAAAAAATGTCTTATGAGTCAGATGGGTCACATCTTATCCATGTGTCTATTTCTCTTTTACACTCCTGCATTGTGTTTGCTGCAATAGACAATCATAATTTGATGATGCCGTACTGTAAGTGTATAGTTTGTTTGTTTAGGTAAATAAAATACTTGTGTTTAGTTCTATGAAGTTTTCCTGATGACTGAGAAGTAAAAATCTAACGGTCGAGTTTAGGTACGGCTGCAATTGAATGTGACTCTCCGTATATCTAACATCACGTACATCGTACTTAGGAACCGAATAAGACCATCTTCATCTGAATTGCCATATTGTGCTGTCTAGTTTTTAACATTTCTTCTTCTCTTAGACTCATTACATTCCTGCACATTTCAAATTTCCGAAGAATACCATAAAAACTTTAGCATAATAATGTTGATATGAAACAGAGGTCTAAACTTCGTGTTTAGAATTATCTGATCTCGATCACAAGCTCCAGGATTATTTAGAACTTCCTGTTTATAACATGTTGAATCTTGATATGAAACAGAGGTCTAAACTTCTTAATTCCCTGTCTGGCAAACTATTAAGAATGGATAATTAAATGTTGCGGCTACGTTTTACATCGACACCTGAAATTGTTTGTCAATTCAATGTTGTGTACAGTATGTGTCAGTGCTTATGCTTCTTAGCTGGCAGAGAAGGCGCAAGCTGGATAAAATTATGAAGCCCAATTTGTTGAGAAGAAATTTTAGCAATTTTGGTTGGTTAGAAAAGGTCAGGATTATATATTCAGTTTCAGGTTACCCCCAAATGCCCAGTTTTGTTTGTGAAGTTACTTCACAAGGCATCTTTACAATTTAATTCATCAGAAAAACTTTCACCTTTCACCACTCTCTCTTATTTTGAAGGAATCCGTACCAACCCAGAATGCCATAGGCTACGCGCAGGTGGCTTCCACCTCATATGGCAATTCAAACAAAGAAGCAACAAACATCCAGAGAGATTACCATAGCATGTGCTGGAGGCTATAAGAATGGGAAGATACACGCAGGTGGCTAGCACTTCAAATAGCAAGTTATGACGAAGAATATTACAGAGGCGTCATAGTGGCATGCTCCTTTTGGTTACAGTGAAAACGCGAAAGACCAGTACCATTTAGTAAGGTCATCTTTGCATATACCATAATATATCTAGCTTTTACAAACTTATAAAGCACACCAAAAAAATTTCTTTGTTCTAGGAGTGGATGAAACTTGGGCCATTTTCTGATGCTTATTCACTGGTTGAGCATCTTGAAGTCCAGTACTTCTCTATTTCTTCTGCTGTTCTTCCAGGGATTCTTCCAGCAATCAAAGACCACCTAGGAAAGAAGTATATTATCTCTTAAAGCTTTTCTAAATCTTGAACGAAAATTCAGGGATAAGTCAGAACAGGGAAGCATATTCACCTCTGACCAACCAGATTGAACATCCTGGTTATAAGGGTTTCCTCATCTTCAGAGAACTCAAGCTTTGAAGCTTCACAGGTTTGCTCTGCCAAAAAAAAGAAGAAGAAAAAAGAAGCAACCCAAGGGAGAAAACGTTAAACAAGAGTCACTTCCTTAAATCTACACGAAATGTGCCATTTTCTCAGTGAAATACCATGACTTGGTCCCTATTCTTCTGTTCAAACACAAGGTAAACAACGTAAAGAAGGACAAGAAATGTTAGCAAACTCTGAAACCATAGCCGGCCAATTATACAAGAACGAGCGGGTTTCAAGTAGAAAAGCGTCAACGAAGCAATCAAGAGAAGAAGACATGTATAAGAAAAGGGTTACCTGTAGAATCTGCAGAAACATCATCAGAAGAGCGATCCATGTCAGCCATCGTAATACACGGACTCAAGAAAGGAAGGGTATAGTTTCAGTGTTTGTCTAAGAGGAGATGCGGGGAAGGAACTATGCTTGAAGTTTGTTGATGTGGTCAATCATTATCAAGTGTTCGGCTATTAATAGGAGAAAGCGAAGTCCAAGGACAAAGGCAACCCGTAGAGAGAAGACTGGTAGTTGAAGCGAATTCTAGTCTAAGTTTGATGGGTAGTTGGGCACTTAAATGTTTGGTTGGAGTAGATATTGCAAGAGATTCCAAATCCTTTGATGTTTGTTGCTCAGTCACACACAATAACTCATTGGTCTGGCCAAAAGTAAAAGGCCTTCCTACAAGGTATTTTCTTTAGGTATAATATTAAAAGAAGAAAGTGGAATAGTTGTCGGCGTAAAAGAAAGTTCAAAAGGATAAATAGGGTTGAAATGTTACCTGTCCTGGGAAAAATATCCACCTCATGACCTGATTTTTCTCAGAGTTGGGATTAATGTTCGAACCAGTAACGGTATTAATTGAAGAAAATATGAAGGGGGTTGTTGAAATTAGTGGTAGCTGGGGATTATGCTGTCTAACTTGGTGCAATCATTGAGAAAAAGCCAAAAACTTAAATCTAACAACCCACGAGACTTGATCAACTTTTATAGTATATTTGAAATAGTACAAAGCGCCACTGAGAGAAAAATTAAACAATTAATAGTATTGCATCCAGAGTGTGGTTTGCTTGTACTTGTTAGTTAATCTTAACAAGTCACAACAAATGACTTTTGGTAAATCAGATTATGTTATGACGAACTTGAAGTAAAATAATGAAGCAACTGAAAGCAGACAGCATGACATGGAATAAAGCGGAGGGTTATAGATTTACACAAGAACAATAGCATAATGAGTACGGAGCAAAATTTGGTGGCAGTGGTTGGTTCATGTTGACGAAAAAGGAAGGGACGGTTCATTTACCTAAGGCTGAAGCTCCATAATTCCATGATTATCCCTCTCCCTCTATCTGCCTCACGGCACAGCGGCACAGCCCCACATACTATCGGACAAAACTTGCGTTCACTTTCCAAGGCGCTGGACATGCCATTGATTATTCCACAAGAGACATGAATACGAACCACTAGCAGACAATACCCTCCGAGAATTGGGCCCGCTCATGTAACAACCCCTAAATTATTTTTTAATTATGATTTATAAAATAGGAAATTAATGTGAAATTTTTTTTTGACCTCAACTGCATAAAGTATTTTTATAAATAATTTTTAAAGCTATATCAAACAGACCTAAAGCGGCAGGCCTATAGCATTAAACATAATCATCATTTATCAGTGCTAAAATTAAAATTTATTTTGATATTCAATAAAAAAATTATTTTGACATTCAATAATTCAATAAATATAAGCATATAATCAAGATGCTCTTGGCGAGCAGAACGGTGAGAACTGATTTTAATACATGGCCGTGAAAAATTATAATTGCAAACTCCAAATTAAATATATTTATAATTACAACCATCGCTTTCATAAGTATTTATACTTGAGTATATTTAAAATTTCAAGTTACAATTTTAAGGCTTTAAAACATGAAACAGAATCCATCACGCAAGCTAACAGGATTTTTTTAAACCATCTTCCTCCATCGACCATCATCAGCTTGAGTGACGAGCCCGATTCGTCAACATTCCAGGAGCAAAAGAAACAGAAACGAAAATATACTGAAGCACCCACGGAGACACAATGACAAATTTATTGCAAAGATCCTCTTGGCAACAACCATATAGTTCTATCACATGAAAAGAAAATAACCATCCGAGAAGGTTCAAAAACAACAAAGAAGATTATATAAAGTTTTCGGATTTATCATCAACTGCTGCTATGAGTGTAATACGCAGGCTATATAACATGAAACTGAATTATCCGCTGCTTCTTAGGGCCTAGAAACCATGAATCTTGATCTGCTCCTTCTTTGCTATTCCAGCCTGTTTTGTCAAAGTACAGAAGAATTCATGGAATTATAACTCCGCCTATGGTGTTCTTACCGTTTAAAAAAAATGCCATGAGCATACTTATTTACCTGCACAAGGAATGTGGAAGCGTTCTTTCTTTGATCTCCCTGAAGTTGTATGACCTGCATCCATAGAGATAAGGCTTAGGCTTGCTGGCTGCTCTCATTGACAAGGAGAGACTTAATCCGGCAACCAATAACACTACTCACAATAATGAAACGATAATTCCTATGTGCTGGACTAAAATGAAACAACGCTTCTTGAGGATGAAGGATATCTCGTTTATTTCCTTAACTTGAGAATTATAGTTAATAGGGAGATCAAGTGGATCAAGACTTAAATAAATCTCCTTTACGTGTTCGCTATCATGTAACTCAATAAAAACACAACATACGCACATCTTTTCCTACCTATCAGTAGACCATTGACCTCGGTTACAAGCTTTTGCCACAAGGTAATTGTCCATATCCATAGCTCATCGGTTTGATCTATGGAGTGTAAACTAGGAAATCAACGAAGAAAAGGAGAGACTGGGGGCAATACTGCTTGTTCAAAATTTTATCCAGTGAGTCATGGCCGTAAGAAAGAAGTGGCATATGAGTAGGGATTAGGTGTACCTAGGGCTAAGGGAATGAAATTGTGACTGTGTTTTAAATCCTCCACTTTGGACACAGTGATGATGTTTAATCTTTTGGTTAGTAAAGTGAGTTTGGGAGAGTAGTGGCCTCTCGAAGGTCCAGTAGCTTATGTTCTTTGTTCCTGCTCTGTGGTGTGTATTTTGTGTCGTTCTGTAACTGTTTTTTATTGTAATTTCTGTACATGGGTGTATGAGGCAGATGGGATTGGCTTGAATCATTATTTCCCTTGTAATCCACTTTATTATTCAGTAATGGTATTAGCATTGTTCATAGTCCATTTCTGATTTTTGTTTTAAGATTATTAGGGTAGAGGGTTCGATAACATTACTTAGCAAGTGAGAAGAACAAACCTGGCCCAGCTCGGGGTCTTGGACAACAGTACCATTACAGCAGAACTCTTTCTTCAGGTCCTTCAGTATCTTGCTATAGCTGTACTCCTTCTTCAGCCCTTGAACAGTTGTCAGGCTTTTCCTTCCATTGCGTTGCTGCACACGCACATGAATATACTCCTTTGTCCCAGCACCGGAGTCCTCAGCATTTGCATCAGCAAAGGGATCTGCCCAATAATCCATTCATGTCAGCAATTGAATTGAAATGTTTAAATTGTCAGATATCGTAGATATGTTCAAATTCAAGACGGATTAAAAGCTTACCATAAGCAGTTGGAGTCTGTTCATCGAATTCAGACATGAACTTTGCCCTTGGTAGGTTCTCGCCAACGGACTTCTGATTATGATAAACCACTAAAAAGTAAGGACTGCAAGTGGTCAGGGAAAGCACAGAAAAAATAAACAACTAACATATATTTGCAGATACTGTTACTATTCAAGCTTGCTACTTGCTAGTTGCTACTAGTTCTCAATATGCAGAAGCATCAACAGGTCCCCAATAACAAAGGAGAACTCTAAAAATAGTCAAATACACATAACCCTGGCATACTGATGTAAGACAGTAGAAGGGCAAGGGGTGGAGCAAGAGGAAGAGGGAGTGAAGAGGTAGGCAGGAGTCCGTGGTTTTATTCTTTGTTTGCCATCAACCCAATTTACACTTAGGGCCCGGAATATGTGGGAACGAATTAGGTATAAACGAATAGACTCTATGGACAATTTTCTTCTTCATCTCATCTTCTTTCACACTTCAAAAAACCATTGTCACTACCAACACAATATCAGAGAATCAATTTATTTCATGCCAAATCAAAAACCCCTATTGTCATTAGGGAAGTTGCATTGCATAACCTCAGTCTCGGCCATATTCTTTCCAATCATCCACTTGTAAACTACAAATATAACCAATACACCCATCCTCCCATGGATATTATGTATAATCGTGTCTACCATGGGGAATGATAATCCCATCTATTGAATAATCACAATATTCCAGAAAGTATTAACCAACACACGATGTTATATGTTTCAAATTGTTCATGTTTATCAGAAGAATCAGGAAAAATTATTCCTGTATACAGGAAAGTGCACCAATATATAAGCCCCCATCCCACCCAAAAATAAGAAATAAAAATCTTCGTCACAATTGATGATTTCTTCTAATGATCAACTGAATAAGCACAATATTCAATGAAACATGAACAGCATACAGAGCGAGAATATGCTAAGTTGTATCGTCAGATAACAAGTTTGTAAAAACCTTGCAACCTTGTCACCAGACATGCCACTGCTAACGAATAAAACCAGTAATAACCCAAAGATTACCCCTTCCCCCGCCCCCTTGTCTTTTTTTAAAGAATTAGGCCAAAAAAAAAAAAATGGCAACAGGATAGCAATATACTAAGCTTGCAAATCCAACAACATAGAAAAATAGCAAATCACAAAGAACACCCACCACAAAGAAAAATAATATTAACCAGAATTAAAAGATTGAAATTTGTAAGCATATTGCCGCTATCGCAGATATGATACACCTATCCTTTTTTTATAAACATCGAAACTCGTAAATCTTTCCTTTTTAATATATGGGTGTCAACAACTATACAACTCAAATTCCCAAACAACGTATTATAAAAACGAGAAAAAAATCCAATTACGACAACGAAATGATAGGAAAGACCATAGAGGAGGAAATCCTTCGTAGAAACAAGTATCCGATACATGTGAATACGGAGAACAGGCACGCAAACAACCAAAAGGAAGGGAGGATAAAAAAATCAAAACAAAAACACGAGCGACAAGCATACGACATACCGTAGAAGAATTAAGGTGAAATCAGCTCCGAGCAAAATCCACAAAATATCGCGCACCAACAGTGACGCTGAATAGAGAATCGGTTCCGGATTTTATACGCTGGAAGCCGCTAAAGTCGGCAGCCGTATAAACGCGCCGTTTGAAAGAAAGGATCGGAGTCGTTAATGAAAAATAATCTTGACCGTCCAATTTAGGTTTTAGTTCTTTTGTTTTTTATTGGCCCAAAGGGTTTCGTAGCGCATGTCGTATGATTAGGGAGGGGTGCTCCTGAAACAATAATAATGATTCTGCTGAACTTCGCTCAAATTAGAGTTACATGTCTAAACATATCAAAATTTATAGCTCCCTTGTTTCAGTGGTTGAAGCTGTAATTCAACTTTTCTTTTTAGTTTGCTTTAGAAATACTGGTGACAACAATTTATAGTTGTTTTCTAGTAATGTTTGCTGAGTAAATTATGCAATTAATAACTAAATTACTGTAACTCAAATATTAGTTAAAATTAATTTAAACCTTTAATATAAGAGTTAGGTGACTAATTTGAATAAATTAAGAAAAAATTTTAAATTAGTTATATATAATAAATAAGTGTTATCTTTCTTAAAATATTTTTGTTAATCAAATATATTGGTTAGAACTGCCATTATTATAAAAACTATATTAAGAAAAAATAAATAAATAAAAAACGGGATTAGGATCATAAAAGTAATATCTAAATCAAATGCTCTCTTACTGACATAAGTTTTTATTGGAATTTACTTATTCATGGTATGAATATATCATTCCAGTAAAAACACGACATCGATAATTTTTTTATATAGAAAAAGATGGACAATGTATCGCGTCAGGAGAGAGTAACGCGTCTGGAGATCACTACATCTATCGTGTTCTCAAAAGAGTTCAAGCGACCGACGGCTATATAAAGCAATTCCTAGCGCCAATGGATGTAAATTAAAAAGGTAATTAATGAGATAAAAATGATAGAGAACCATGAACAACTCAGAAGGTAAACAAGGAGGAAAAAGAGGAACAGTGACCTAATGTGGCCAAGGTTTGATTAACGTTCTGGAACAGTGAAAATTTAAGGGATTAACGCACAAAATGGTTAGGATTTATATGGCGGAACTCAATATATTTATGCCTCATCAGGTAATTACTTGAAATTTTGTTACTACTTTTTTACATACCTAGATTATCTTATATATATTATCATTAGATTAAATAATATCATAAATATTATTTGCATGGTAATTATTTTTATTTTACGGGGTTACCTTGGGGACAGGTGAATAGAGATAAACGATTATATATTTATTTTAGAAGTTATGCATTGTTATATTTATTTCAAAAATTTAGAGGATTATTTTCTAAACCATCGGATTTACTATCCTGCGGCCCAAATTATTAATTGAAACGGCATGGAGGAAAATGTAATCATTGGGAGTTGTGAACCCATTTGACGCTAGAAACCTTTGGTCCTCAAACTCGCATAGATGGGCCATATTCTTTCACGTTTCCAGTCCACCAGCCATGTCACGTTGCCGGTTCAAAAAAAAAACACATACAAACAGATGAGGCATATCATTTTTTGGATTAGCTGACGGCTTGACCGGGAGGTGACAATTAGAAATACCTATTTGTGATTTAAAAAAGATTGGGTCTAAAACTAAAAAAAATTAATCCTTCGTAATATGATAATTTTTTATGGCTAAATTGCTCATTCGGTCCTTTAACTATATGTAAAGTTTCAATTTAGTCTTTTAACTTTAAAAAATATACTTTTAGTCCTTTAATATTAAAATTATTAGTCTTAAGTGATCATTTTTTGAAACAATCATAGTTGTTTTGAAAATTAAACTTAATATATTAACATTTAGTAACATTTTATCAACATTTAAGAACTCAATATTGTCATTTTTTGTTAACGGTTTTAGGTTAAAAGACTAAAAATTTACTTTTTAAAGTTAAAAGAGCAAAATGAAACCTTATATAAAGTTAAAAGACTAAAAGTATATTTTAGCCATTTTTTTATTCAGAGAAATGCACACATTTAACAGTGTTTTAAATAAGATTATCTTCAATAACACAATATATATACCCTTGCCTAGGGGGAAATACTTACTCTGAACGAGAGAGACTGTTCTTAGGCTAAAACACATGTTAAGATACAGCGACTGGGGCAAAATATTTACATGCCTGTGACTTGAAAACAAAAATACAGAACATAGTAACGTTTTACTCAAGTCTTACAAATGTTACTATAATGATATCACATGCAATGCATTGGCTCCCAAGGACTTCAAAACACTAATAACCCATAAATAAGCTATAAGGTGTAGGGAAATTAGAGGCAGAATTGAACGAAGGAGCTTGTATTGGCTAAAACACTGCCTAAAACAGAGTATAGAAATTAAATGCTCTATGGGGACATCTGCTGATGCAAATTGTGTTTACTTATTAGCAATTGAAATTATTTACATATGGTGGCAAAAAAAATTTTATTTACATACTACCTTCGATTCTTAATATAAGAACTAGTTGACTAATTTGAGTAAATTAAGAAAACTAGTTATGTTAGTTATTTGTAATAAATAAGTGTTGTCTTTCTTAAAATATTCTCAAGTGTATTGGTTAGAACTATTATTATTACAAAGACTATATTGGGAAAAAATGAATAAATATGATAGACAAAGTGGATCAGGGTTTTATATTTAAGATTAAAATAAAAATCAAACAAGTTCTTATTTTAAGAACCGGAGGTAGTATAATCCTTTTTGCTACCCCAATTACATATAATCTTAATTCTAGAAAAGATTATTATTCAATTTTGAAAGTAAAACATATACTATAACTTAATTTAATTTTTAACTCAGTGCATAATTTAAGACCAGAAAAATTCTCCTTTAATAAGATTAATTATTTTCCGTTGGCGGAAAAAAAAAAGATTAATTATTTTCTTCTGTACCGAGCATGAAAGGATGTAGAAATACACAAGCCAAGACTCGTGAGTTTCTTGTACGTCATCTTAAGAGAATATATGATGCATTTTATTACCTAAAAACTAATTAAACATGAAAATATAATGTTAATCATCAACAAATGTTGGGCATAAAAGAGGAGCATATGAGATTATGAGACAGGAAGCAGAGTTTCTTTCTTTTAAAGTGCAATTTACTCTCAGTTTTTAAAATGTCTCAATGTGATGACCCTTCACGTTAAATGGAAGGACGTTGACCTTTAAGTCCTATAAAAAAGAATGACATCTATCTTCATGATGCAGTAGATCTAAAGACGCTAGACTAAGAAGTTTCTTGCACGTTATGTTAATAGGATACATGGTACATTCTAACTAAAAAGTAAGTATAAAAATGTGGATCATCAACAAAATTTTATTAATAGTAATGAAATCTTTTAATTCGAAAGAAATAAATTAAAGGCTAAAATATATATTTGGTCTTTTAATTTTGTACAAGATTTCAATTTAGTCCCTTAACTTTAAAAAGCATACATTTGGTTTTTTAACCCTAAAATTATTAGGCTTCAATGATATTTTTTGTAACAATCATGGATGTCTTGAAAATTAAACTTAATATGTTAGTATTTGAGAATATTTTATCAATGTTTAAAGTTTTAATCTCATCATTTTTAAAATTTTTTTTACAGTTATAAAGAACTAAGTATACTTTTTAAAATTAAGAGACTAAGTTGAAACTTTGTACAAAGTTAAAGGACTAAATATATCCTTTAGCCTAAATTAAAACTTGCTGTTCAAAAAAGAAATAAATTAAAACTGATAATCATTAAAATGGAATCACATATGGACTATGGTACGTACATGTAGTTGCTTTTAATAGGATCGTGTATTTGTGTTATCTAATTATAATTCATCGAGCATGAAATTCGGCACTGAATATGATACAGATCACTTTCCTCCCCATTGACGCGTCAAGTGCTCCAAAGATAAACAAGTGAAAAGAGAACAGATAATACGATCACTTTTTTAACCAATAAAACTTCCAGTCTTACTTCTAAACCTCTAATTAATTGCATTCTTATCTCAATGTACCAACTAATCTTAGTGCTAATCCACGAGTTGACTCTTCAATCTCATACTTTTTAATGGATACAAAATCCTTTCACGAGATACTCTCTAAATGGCTCTGATGAACACAAAACTAACTCCCGATAATGCAGCTAAACACCCTAATTTCCCCCCTTCCCT